GGAAGGTGTCACCAGAATTGTGATGGCTATCAACAATGGAGATGTAATTATTTGCTAATTTCTTTCTTAAAGAAAGAAAAAAGAATTTCAGGATTTTTAGTTCCTAGCACAGAAAATAGTGCAGATGAAAACATATTTGGCAAAAAAACATTCCAGCATTTTTATCCCCCAAAATTAATGTTTCCCTGCAGTGATATTATTTTAGTACAGAAATATATTGACCAGATTTTTTTGTGCAGAATAAATCCAAAAATTATGAAGATTTCATCAATTCAAATTTATTTCACTAGGGTTTCTGAGCACAAAGGGGTTTTTTTACAGTGTTTTCCAATACCTAATCCTCCATTGAGAAGTCTTTGGGAGGTGCTGCTTCAAGGCAATCACAGTGTAGTACTAATTACAGGAACAGTAGAGTTTAGATGTAGGATTAGAATGAGCTGCATTTACAAAAATCCTAGTAGCAAGAGTTATGGATTTGCAAATAATCTTCAGACAGTCGGGCATGGCCAAAAAAGACCCAGGACAAAGGGAGGACATGAGAAAAAAAACTTGCCTGAGATACAATTGTTAGTCAAGAGGGAAAGTCCATAGAACCCTTAAGTTTTTACTAGTGAGTCAGGGTGTTTATGAAGCAAGGGGGCTTACCAAAGGATTTGGCAGAAGACCTCTGAGAATGAGCTATTTATGTCCTTTCCTCCTGATGATTCTTATTTTTGCTTGCAGGAAAGCGGATCTGTCTGGGTGAATCCTTGGCCCGCATGGAGCTCTTCCTCTTCTTCACCAACATCCTACAGAATTTCCGCCTGAAGCCCATTATCCCCCCTGAGGACATTGACGTCACTCCTCTGGAAAGCGGCTTAGTCACTGTCCCACCCTTGTACCAGTTCTCTGTCATCCCACGCTGACCCAAAGGGCTCATTGTCTACAGCCATCGCTCTCTTATGCCTGCTGAATCCCACAGCTCTTCAGTGGAGACCCCGTAATCTGTTTTTTGCTGAACACTCAATGTAGAGAAGGAGGAAACCCGTGAATCAATTCAGACCAAGACATATGCTTTGAGCCTGAAAGACTGTCATGCTCTCTTCTCTATTTTTATCTCTGCACCTAAAGAATGCATAGTCTTGATATATAAAATGTAACAACAATATAGTCATTGAATTAGACTGATCTGCAATCAATGGATCTTTGTGGCCACTATCCAGCTTCCAGCTGGTTCCTGTGCTGCCTGTATAGGTTACAATTCTGTTACAATTCTGCTAATTTTTATAGCATTGTATATTTCCAAAATTTATTTTTGCCTACTGTATGTACAGTCATACATAGTCATGTGTATATATCAATCTGCATATAAACAATAATAATTATTGAAAATCCATATATTGTCTAGTTTTATTTGCTATAAAGCATTAAAATTCTATATCTGCCATCCCACTACATACATACATACATACATACAAACATAAATATTTTGAACATAGACATAAATAGGACTGTCATTCCCTCTGGATCTTTTGTTTTGTTGTTGTTGCTAGTCATCTCAATTACCAGGCATGATTTTATTGCAAGGGTTCAAGAAAGCTATGCATGATTTTTCCTGCAAGAATACAGAAATTTAAATGTCTACATGTCCTCTGTAATAATAAAATGATTAACTGGGAAATAAATTATTAATCTTGAGTCTGGTACCAGAGATAAAACATCCTATATGTGCATGTAACATATTAGTTATGTAAGGCAGAAGGAGGGGCAAATCAAATACACAGACAGGACACATTCTGGGTAAAGGAGCATAAGGAGTGCAAACTCCATCATGGAGTTATTCGGAGCAGTCAGCCTTTTCCTTGTCTTCTACCTGTCTTGCCTTGCCATTGTATCATTTAAGAGGAAATTATCAAACAAGGGGAGGCTTCCTCCAGGACCCACTCCCTTGCCTCTGATTGGAAATTTTCTACAGATAAAGTCATCACAAACCTTAAAATCTCTCCTCAAGGTGAGTGACTTTAACCATAATGTTGAATGTATGACATATAACATCTTATTGTCCTACAGTTTTTAGAAACAGGCTCAGGTACACATTATTAACCCACTACTGAGAAACGTACTTGGTAGATTTATTTATTTATTTATTATTTTATTTTATTTACTATACTTGCATATTGCCTTTTCAGCCTGTCAGCGACTAGATCTTCCCAATTCCATCTAAATAATTTTATTAGAGTACAATTTCCTCCTCATGACATTGGCTGTTGCCTAGTTTCTACCTGAGGTAGCCAATCTGTATTAGATTTCAGCTGAAACTTGACCTGTATTTATTTGCAGTGCCTTTACCCATGTTCATATGCATCTTGTATTGAACATCGTCCTGCGTTTAATTAGTTTTGTCATTTTTAATCAGTTTGCAGTTGTGCACCTTTTCCCCACAGAGCCAATTGGGTCTTTGGGCTGTAATAAACTTTTGACTGACATGTGGAGTGACTGTGTCATGTATGTATGTATCTATGTATGTATGTATATACCTACCCTTCTCAACCTCTCAGGGCAGTGTTTCTCAACCTGGGGGTCAGGACCTTGGGAGGGTCACGAAGGGGTGTCAGAGGGGTCACCAAAGACCATCAGAAAACACAGTATTTTATGTTGGTAATGGGGGTTCTGTGTGGGAAATTTGATCCATTTCTATCATTGGTGGGGTTCACAATGCTCTTTGATTGTCACTGCCTTGGTCCTTTCACTATTGGCTGCTACTTCCTGGTGGATGTCAGGTGGTGCGAAATTGGCTAGACAGTGTAATTTCTCCAGTGGTGTAAGGCACAGACACCCCGTGATAATGCGGCATGTCTCATTAAGAGCCACATCCACTGTTTTAGCATGGTGAGATGTGTTGCACACCGGGCATGCATACTCAGCAGCAGAGTAGCATAGCGCAAGGGCAGATATCTTCACTGTGTCTGGTTGTGATCCCCAACACAATTGTACCAAATAGAGAAATTGCACCAGGACTTTGGAGCAACTGACTGGATGTCAGCAGCATTAAGATCACTACTGACGGAAAGGTCATGAGTTCAAAACCAACCTGAGTTGGAGTGAGCTTCCAACCAAATTTGTGTAGCTTGTTGTCGACCTTTGCAGCCCGAAAGATAGTTGCATCTGTCAAGTAGGAAATTTAGGTACCACTTTGTGGGAAGGCTAATTTAACTAATTTATGAGGCCATAAAGATCAGCGAGCATGCAGGGAATGTGGAAGTACTTCATCAGTGTCACAGATGGACGGTGAAGCGACAGCTCCCCTGGTGGCCAGAAAAAAGTTGGAATGTTAAATAGCCTCTGACTGTCTGTCTATATGTGTTGTGTGTCTAAGGCATTGAATGTTTGCCTGTATATGTACATTGTAATCCGCCCCAAGTCTCCTGCGGGGTGAGAAGGGTGGAATATAAATACTGTAAATAAATAAATAAATACCTTAGGCCTCTATCTAACTAGTGTAGGCAGTCATAAAAAGACTTTTTGTAGAAAGGAACTTCTTTGTCACAGGTTTGTTCATCCCTGGACTTGGGTTCCTTTCTTTTTGAATGGAGAAAAACACCTGGAATGGATTTCAGTGATGAAAATGCCTTATGCCAAAAGATATAAAGAACATAATTTGACCATTACTCTAGTCAAATCTCAAATACTTGATTTAAATGAAACAGAAAAGCCCCATTAAGATTCATTCTACTCTGAAATTATTCAATCATAAACTAGACCTTCTTCACTCTGCTCCCTTCTGCTGCAGGACTCAAAGCCCACTAGTTCTTGCACCCTTCAGCTGTCAGATATGACCATTTCAAGGAACACTGTTACAAAAGATCTGCCAAGCTCAAAACAGGAGTGTTTCTAAATAATAGATGGTTTTCCCACACAGCTGAGTGAAAGGTATGGCCCCGTGTTCACTGTCTATTTTGGAACACGACCAGTTGTGGTCTTGTGTGGACATGATGCTGTGAAGGAAGCCCTGATAGACAAGGCAGATGAAATCAGTGGAAGGGCCACCAACCCTACCCTAGAGCGGACCTTCCAAGGACATGGTGAGCCATTCCTATCAGCTTTGCTATCACAATACATATTTTCTTCTACATTCTGTTAGCTGTTTCATTTATTTCCTTTTTCATGCAGGGGTGGCCTTTGCCAATGGAGAGCGTTGGAAGCAACTACAACGATTTTCTGTCAGTGTCCTGAGAGATTTTGGGATGGGGAAAAAAATCAATTCAAGACCGGATTCAAGAGGAGGCCCAGTTCCTGCTAGAGGAATTCAGGAAGACTAAGGGTGAGTTGAGCTGTAAGGATAAGCAATCGTTGTTTTCATTATTCAGAAGAAAAGGGTATTTCACTATGTTAGAACATGTAATCATAGTAAAAGATATCAACCACACCAGTATTTTCCATCCTGGCATTTCATCAGAACTTTCCCCTTCATCCAATTTTTCATCTTCTGCGCATAACTCTAAGGATGAGATCCTCTTCTAGGAGATGTAGCTATGATGATCTAGTTACAATGCCTTAAGTAAGGTGACCTATCTACATGCTGCATGTGACACCCCCCCCCCAAAAAAAGACCCTTAAAACAGAGAAATCACCAAGGTCTAGAAGGAGTGGGTGGTGAGCAAGGATCCATACATTCCTCTCTTTTAAATGGGGCAAATTACAACAACAACAACTGAAAAAGAAGGGTCCTCTTAGGTACCAGAAAAAGTGCTGGACCAGAAAGAACTATATGCCTCATGGCTCAAAAACTTGGTCTTTTTTTTGAGGATAGTATGGTATAAAAGATAGGTTTGGGGAGCACTTTAAAGCAACTGTCGCAGAGGATGTTTCCAGGTACAAGGAAATATGAGGCTTTTCAAGGAAACACCTCTTTTCTCTTTGTTCTTGAACTTCAGAGAAGCCCTTTGACCCCACCTACTATCTCAGTCGGACTGTCTCAAATGTCTCTATTATTTTTGGGGAATGCTTTGACTATGAGGACATTGACCCAGAGAATTTCCTGGATGAGAATGGCCGTTTCAAGAAGAACAATGCCTTTGTCCCATTCTCCTCAGGTATAGTTCTCTCATATACTTCTGACCCCTAAAAATTGCTTTCCCAACATTTTCTCATCTCTCATATATTAGACCATAAGATCTCACAAAGACGTTCATCAAGAGATGTTGCTGCAAAGCAATCAAAGTTGTGGTACCAATTTTGCAGTCAGTTAGTCATGTCCAGAAATTTGAGGTTATTGAAGGAATCTGCTTTAGGTTCATTGCTGGTCATGAGAGAAAGTCCGTAGAACCCTTTGGTTTATTGGAGCAAGGCAGGATGCTTATACAGTAAAGAAACCACCTAAGTCTTCATTAGAAGACATTTGAGAGAAATCTCTCTATGACATTTCCTCCTGATGATTCTCCTTTTTTGTTTGCAGGGAAGCGGATCTGTCTGGGTGAATCTTTGGCCTGCATGGAGCTTTTCCTCTTCTTCACCACCATCCTCCAGAGTTTCCATCTGAAGCCCACTATCCCCCCTGAAGACATTGACCTAACTCCTCTGGAAAGCGGCTTGATCACTGTCCCACCCTTCTACCAGTTCTCCGTCACCCCACGCTGACCCAAAGGGCTCATTGTCTACAGCCATAACTTCCTTACAGATGTTAAATACCACAGCTTTTGTTTTCAGCTCCATGAAGAGAGTGATGAAGTCCATGATTCACTGCAGACCAAGATATATGCTTTCCTACTAAAATACGAGGGGTATTTTTAAGTAAGGTCCATTTGAACATAAGTACACAACGAAAGTTTATTTCAAAAAAGTAAATTTATTTTCAGAAAGTACATACTTCACTCTATTTTTCGACATAGTTGCCAAGTTTGTTCAAACACTTATCATACCTCTGAACCAATTTTAAAATACCCTCTTCATAAAAACGTGCCGCCACCAAAAGCCACCAAATCGTCTGTAATCAAAGAAGGGCGACCGGAGTGGTCCTCATCATGGACGTTGTCACGGCCATCTTTGAATTGTCGTACCCACTTACGCACTTTGCTTTCACTCATAACAGTATCACCGTACACTTCACAAATCTGTCAATGAATTTCTGCAGCAGGCAGGTTCCTTGCTGACAAAAACCATATCACTGAGCAAACCTCACATGTGGAGGGTGAGTTGATAGTCTTAAACATTTTTAAAGCACAGAACAGAACTGTACAGGTTAGCTACAGAGCGGAAATTGAGCACAGTTGTTCCCGAGGCATGCCGGTACACCACGCACGCGCTCGTTGCAGTATGCGCGCGAACTACTAGTGTCTACAACAAAACTTACCTTACTTAAAAAATACCCCGTACTATAATCCTCTCTACTGTTTTTATCTCTGTACCTAAAGAATATGTAAATCTTGAAATTTAAAATATAATAACAAAATATTTCTTGCATTGGACTGATCTGCAATCAATGGATCTTTGTGGCCACTGTCCAGCTTCCAGCTGGTTCCTGTGGTGCCGTGTAGGTGCTCTGCATGGAACCAGATCCCTATAATCAACCTCCTGACCAGGCTTAGATGGCTGTGTGGAATCAGTCTAAATTACACAGATATCTTGTTTTGTGGTTGTTGTTGATGTTGTTGTTAAGGGGGATTATTTCTCTTCACCCAGTTTTCCCATTAATTTTGGAAACAGGAAATTTTCCTTAGTTGCCCATTCCATTTTTCCTTTCATTTATTGTCTCTATCCTCTTTCAATATTCTTTCCTCATCCATCCCATATTTGGGGAACATGTCCTAAACCTAAATTTCTTCCTAACTTCCTCTTATCCATCTGCAACTCAAGTCCCACTCCTAAAATCTTTCTCTCTCTCTTTCTCTCTACCCCCACTTTCATCCCTTCTTTCTTTTTCTTTCCTTCCACCCCCTCATACCTTTTCTGCTTTCCTTTCCCTTCCCTCTCCCTATCCTTCCTTCCTTCTCATCCCTTTTCTCCTGTCTCTAGCTCACTGGAGGGAAGGATACTAGAGACAAAGTTGAAGTACTTTGGCCACATCATGAGGAGACAGCAAAGCCTAGAGAAGACAATTATGCTGGGGAAAGTGGAAGGCAAAAGGAAGAGGGGCCGACCAAGGGCAAGATGGATGGATGGCATCCTTGAAGTGACTGGACTGACCTTGAAGGAGCTGGGGGTGGTGACGGCCGACAGGGAGCTCTGGCGTGGGCTGGTCCATGAGGTCACGAAGAGTCGGAGACAACTGAACGAATGAACAACAACAACTAGCTCTGAGAGGAGCACTCATTGTGTCCCTTACTCCCCATCATACATGTCACCTTTTTCCAAGTGATATCATAGACGGCCACTTCACTAGCAACAGCCTTTGTGGTACAAACAGACAGACCGACATCTACCGTGTTTCCCCTAAAATAAGACATATCCATAAAATAAGCTGTAGCAGGATTTCCAAGCAATTGCACAACATAAGTCATACCCCAAAAATAAGACATAGTGATATGCAGCATGCTGGCGCAGAGTGGTAAAGGTGACCAGAGAAGTGCGGGCAGCCCCATCAACTGAGGCATAGAGGGAGACATAGAAAGTGAAAGTAAAAGTCTCCTCAGTGAAGTGAGGAGCAGGACACTCTGCTTTAGGTATTGTGTGTCCTCAGGGGGGAGAAGTAAAGCTGTTGCTGCCATTTTACTCAGCACTGTGGGTCTCTCTCACCCAGAAATTCTAGGCTTGGGGAGTTATGACAATGTTTCAGAAGATGACGACTTAACTATCTATATAAATAAAAATGTAATGTTCGTTTGTGGGATTAACATAACTCAAAAACCACTGGACAAATTGCTGCCAGATTTGGCCACAAGATGCCTACTAACCCAAGGAGTTACCATCGCACTTCGAGGACAATCTTACTCGGACAACAAGGGATTGCTTAAGTATGTATAGAGTCAAGTAATGTGTATATATCAGTCTGCATATAAACAATTATAATTATTTAATATACCTATATTGTCTTCTTTGATTTGCTATAAAGCATTAAAATTATATTCCTGTTTATGGGTCGGGGTGAACATAGTGCTGAAGATGGAACACATATGTTCTAGATTCCATTTTTGTGATCCAAAGTCCACACAGTTTACAAAAGCTGTGATCTTCACTCAAAGTTTATCTTCATCTGCCGGGCATCTATGATAGCATAATTCAACAATCCTTAAAGCTGTTAGCTGAACATGGAAAGACATGGTGACCATACAGAAATATTTTGTTACTGTACCAACAAAAAACTATTTCGTATCTGACACCTACTTTTGGCCATATGCATGCTGCATGAAATATTCACCATAGTACATTTAGCCAGTGTCCTCCTTTTAAATAAATTTGTTACATTTTTACAACTCTATACAATGGTTGGAGAAATTTCCACTTCCATTTGTAATGGTATTTGTACCATTTTTGATCCAGATCCATCATTTGTGAGATTCATACTGCTCTCCATATGTGGGTGGGCTCTGAACCTTGCCAATATTTTGAGTTGGTAAACATGGGTATATGTGCCAGATTTAGTCCAGATCCATTATTGGTGGGATTCAAAGACTCTCTGGATGTGATTTCAATACAACTCCCATCATCCAGTCCTTCCAAAATCCTACCAGTTTTTCAAGTTGGGTCACAATGGGTCTGCATACCAAGTTTGGTCCAGATCCATCAAGTCATCTAGAAGCAATACCGCTAAATACATACATATTTTGACTTGTACATAGACAGCATTGTTCTTCCCTCTCAATTTGTATTGTTTTGTTGTTACTTAGTCATCTCAATTACCAGGCATGATTTTCTTACAAGGGTTCAAGAAATGTAAAATTCTACATATCCTCTGTGATGATAAAAACGATTAACAAGGAAATAAATTATTAATCTTGATTAATCATCACACATGTGAGTGTAACATAGTTATGTAAGAAAGAAGGCGGGGCCCAATCCAGGCCAAATTAAATACACGGACACATTCTGGGTAAAGGAGCATAAGGTGTGCAAACTCCATCATGGAGCTATTCGGAGCAGTCACCCTTTTCCTTGTCTTCTACCTATCTTGCCTTGCCATTGTATCATATAAGAGGAAATTATCGAACAATGGGAGGCTTCCTCCAGGACCCACTCCTTTGCCTCTGATTGGGAATTTCCTACAGATCAAGTCATCAGAAATCTTAAAATCTCTACTCAAGGTGAGTGACTGTCAATTGGAAACATAATGGGGCATATTTGGGATAGAGGTAAATCTGAGGAGGAATCAACATTTGCAAAGTGCTGGCTGCCTCCTGAAACCTCTTCCAACCCTTCCTTTGCAATAGATCTTGCAGGAATCCTTGTTTCCTTGCAATTCCTTCCAAGTAATCATGAGTTTTTCTCTAATTTTGGGGGATTTTCCAGACCTTCTTCCAAGTGAGATATCTTCATGCACCACCTCTCCTTCCCATGATCCTTTTGTTTGCTTGTAGACTGTATAGTCTAAATCCATTTGAAACGACAGTATGCAGATGCAACAATCTTCTTTATCCAGGATCGATAACAAGCCAATTTGTTTTAATGTTCATGAGAGTGTTTTCTTGGGCTTCTAGTCTACGTGGGGCTGCCTTTGAAGACTGTTCGGAAACTTCAACTGATCCAATGGGCTGCAGTCATATTACAAACTGGAGCAACGTACAGGGAGCACACCACCCCCTTGTTGTGTCAGCTCCACGGGCTGCCGATGCACTTCCGAACACAATTCAAAGTGCTGGTTTTGACCTTTAAGCTCTACGGTTCTGGCCCAGCTTACTTGTCTGAACACATCTCCCTCTACCTCCTGCCTTGCAGTTTAAGATCATCCAGGGAGACCCTGCTCTCTCTCCCGCCAGCATCGCAAATACATCTGGTGGAGATGAGAGACAGGGCCTTCTCGGCTGTAGCCCCCCACCTGCGGAACTTGCTTCCCAACGAGGTAAGATCAGCTTCATCCCTCCTGTCTTTTACGAAGAAATTGGAGTCATGGTTCTGGCATTTGGACAGCAGGCATAAATAGCGCTTTGGATATGGAATTTGACTGGAATGGTGATACAGCGGTTAATATTGCTTTATTGTTTTAATTAATGTTCTATTTATTGTTTTAATTGTTGCTATATTGCTTTGTTATATTTAATAGCATCAAATTGTGCCAAATATAAGCTGTCCTAAGTCCCTCTTTGGGGTGTTGAGAAGGATGGGGTAGAAATGATGGAAATAAATAAATATTTAAGTAGGTCTAGGCAGGCACACAAACATACACATATAGGGAAAGGAGCATCTTTGTTATAGATTTGTTCATTGATGTGTGCTTGGACTTAGGTTTCTTCCACTTTAAATGGGGAAAAAATACCTGGGGAGGATTTTAATGATGGCAATGCCTTGCACCAAGAGATTTAAGGGACACCATTTGACCCCTGCTCTGTTCAAACATAAAGCCTTTTAAATGAATCAGGGAAGCCTCTGGAATGATTTAATCATAAACTAGAGAGACCTCTTCCACTCTGTCCCCTTCTGCTGGAAGACTCAGAGCCTGCTTGTTCTTGCACAATTGAGCCCCCCAGATATAACAATTTGAAAGACTGTCATTACAAGAGATCTTGAGTTATTGGACAGAACCATTTCAAAGAACACCATTACAAAATATCTGCCGACCTCCTAACAAGATTGTCCTTACATAATATATTCCCACACAGCTGAGTGAAAGATATGGCCCCGTGTTCACTGTCTATTTTGGAACAAAGCCCATTGTGGTCTTGTGTGGACATGATGCCGTGAAGGAGGCTCTGGTAGACAAGGCAGATGAATTCAGTGGAAGGGCCACCAACCCTACCCTGGAACGGTCCTTTGAAGGACATGGTAAGCTATTCCTATCAGCTTTGCTATCATGGTCCCCATTTTCTGCTGCTTCTCATGGGCCTCTTCATTTCTTTCCTTTTTCTTGCAGGGGTGGTCTTTTCCGAAGGAGAGCGTTGGAAGCAACTACGGCGATTCTCCCTTGGCGTCCTGAGGGATTTCGGAATGGGGAAAAAATCAATTGAGGAGCGGATCCAAGAAGAGGCCCAGTTCCTGCTGGAGGAATTCAGGAAGACTAAGGGTGAGTTGAGTGATGAGCAAGGACGCATAGAGCCCTGTCCTATTAAAGTGGGGCAAGTTACAACAGCAATTCTAACAGAAGGATTTCAATTACTGCAATAATGCAAAAACAATAAATGTGAATTACTGTAGTTATGATATTGTAAGTCAGTGGAAAGCCAAGCATCAAATCTTTACTCAGCCATAGAAATCGATTGGGTGATAGTGAAGGGTACCCCTTTAGTTAGGCACCCCAAGGCTGGCGACAGAAGGCAAGCAGTCTCCGTAAGTGAAGCAAAAATCTCTTTATTTCAAGTGTGGCCACACAGGGAGAAACAGCCAAGACAGACCAGTGTCTTCAAAGAGAGCTGTCTCTGACATTTGGATCTTTCAGTCTCCTTATATACATGTCTTTTCACTGTGTCATGGGCACACACCCCTCTTATCGGATCAACCATTCAAAAACATGTTTTTCTCATATTTTGCCACTTCAGTGTCTTTAACTGATAACCCTCTACAAACTATGTAAACACACACATTATTGTTACAGATAAGCATTTTGGGTGTTAACCCACCCTGGGTACTCCCTGGGCGTACTTGACAATAGAGCATCTTGTGTCTTCTAGATACATTATCTCCTCTTGACTTTTGGTCTTCTGCAGGCCAGAGGAGAGGGACAAACCCCTCTTTAGGTTTGCATTTCAACATTTCAACATTTCTAAGTTCTGTTAACCCTTTCAATAGCTCATTAAAGAAGAGTGAAAATATCAGTCTGCATCACCTTAATTGTTGCAAGACAGATCCCTTAAAGCACCAGACCAGTATTTAGTAACAATAAAGTTTATTAGTTCACAACCAACAGAGTTCGAAAACAAACCAAAAAGACTCAAAACACTTATTCTTCAGTGTGAAACACAGTATTACCCACAATTAACCCAAAAAAACAGGGCCTGGAAAATAACCTGGATTAAATAAGAATATAATCCGGTTTAAACTTAAACCTATACAATCAGCAAGAAAAAAGCACTCCAATCCACAGCAGGACATCAGTGAGCATGAAGGGTCGAACAGAAAGGCCGGAGTCGTCTACCGAAGTCAGTCCAAACGTGGCGTAGTCGTCGTGAATCCAATCCGGGTCGAAGAGGGAGAAGGCAACAAACACGATAATCCAGTCCAGGTTTTACACAGAGCCAAAACTTTAGTCCAGTCCATTTCTCCACCCTCTGAACTTGCCATGCCACTCTCCTCAGTCTCAGACCCATTATTCCCTGCTAAGCCCTCAAATGATTCATCATCACTGGATTCCATAAGTATTTCCCTGATCCGCTTTCTCTTTTGCTCCTCATCGGAGTCAGGCTCACGAGTAGTCTTTCTTCCCTTCCTGATACTCCCAGTAGTATCACTACTTGAAGACTCCATCACAACATTAATAGTTAAGAGAAGAGAACCCTATAGCTTGCAGTGGCTGCTGCCAAATGCTTTGACTTTACTATCTGTACATATTCCCCACACTGTTGAATACATAGGGACGGTGCATACTAGGCCTGTTTGATCAAGAAAAAATTTGTTTCTAAAATCGATTTGTAATTGGGGTGTTTTTTTGTTTCGATATTTAAAATAATTACAAAACTTTCCCCCAAAAAAGTTTTGGTATTTACGAAATTTCGTAAATATTAACGAATTTTTAGAATATTTTAAAATAATATTAAAAAATAATATTTAAATAATATTAAAAAATATTTTAAAATGGAAAATTAACCAAAAAATGGCCCAAATGTGGACCAAACACAGGCAGGAGACAGCAAATGAGAGCACACACCAACAGAAGAGTCTTTTCTTTTTTAGAATATTTTTTAAGAATAATATTAAAATAATATTAAAAAATAATATTAAAATAATATTAAAAAATATTTTAAAATGGAAAATTAACCAAAAAATGGCCCAAATGTGGACCAAACACAGGCAGGAGACAGCAAATGAGAGCACACACCAACAGAAGAGTCTTTTCTTTTTTAGAATATTTTTTAAGAATAATATTAAAATAATATTAAAAATAATATTAAAAAATAATATTAAAAAATATTTTAAAATGGAAAATTAACCAAAAAATGGCCCAAATGTGGACCAAACACAGGCAGGAGACAGCAAATGAGAGCACACACAAACAGAAGAGTCTTTTCTTTTTTAGAATATTTTTTAAGAATAATATTAAAATAATATAAAAAATAATATTAAAAAATAATATTAAAAATATTTTAAAATGGAAAATTAACCAAAAAATGGCCCAAATGTGGACCAAACACAGGCACGAGACAGCAAATGAGAGCACACACCAACAGAAGAGTCTTTTCTTTTTTAGAATATTTTTTAAGAATAATATTAAAATAATATTAAAAAATAATATTAAAAATAATATTAAAAATATTTTAAAATGGAAAATTAACCAAAAAATGGCCCAAATGTGGACCAAACACAGGCAGAGACAGCAAATGAGAGCACACACCAACAGAAGAGTCTTTTCTTTTTTAGAATATTTTTTAAGAATAATATTAAAATAATATTAAAAATAATATTAAAAAATAATATTAAAAAATATTTTAAAATGGAAAATTAACCAAAAAATTAAGAAACAAATTCACAAAAACCGAAGGAAGTAATGAATCCAAGCAAGGAATATAAGCAGCACTCACAGCAGCAAGGAATGAATCCAAGCAAGGAATGAATCCAATCCAGTTGCTAGCCAAGCCAAGCCAACCCAATGCAAACCCTCCCGGACCTCTTCTCTCTCCCTCGCCCTCTGCAGCAATGAGCTACGGCCGCGCGGAGCCGCTTTGAAAGGGCTCGCCGGCCAATCAAAAACAAACAGCCACGGTGCACTGCTTGGGAGCGCCGGATTGGCTCCCACCAGCAGCCTCCATCCCATTAACGAAACGAGCGGAAGCTCGTTAAATCTATGGGGGCTGCCGGTTCGATATTTTTAAACCCTTCCGGGTTTGAAAATGTGTTTTGATATCGCTTCGGAAATGCCAAAAATAACGAATTATTAACGAATTAACGAATTAACGAACGAAACCGCACAGGCCTAGTGCATACAAATCATTTTTGAAGGCGATGTCCAAATTTGGGGTGGATGCTGGGAAGGAATTTTGAAAAAAGAACAGGCAGACTAAATGAAACAGATTTTGGTCTTGGGTTTCTGTTCTGAATGGAATATACACTGATTATTAGTTGCAGTGGATTTTGTGGCTTACTCTGGAATTTCTAGTGAGATTTTTTAATATGTTCTTTCCATCTGGAAGTACACTGCAGCTCTCATCGAGGATGTACATTTCATGGTCGACCTGACCTTGAGATGGCTTGGAACTTGAATTTAGTGCCAGTGTGGATGCACCCTTAGATACTGGTGAAACTATCGCCACTAGGGAAGGGGCTGGAATTGAAACCCATGACAACCATTCCATGTTTCCACGTGTCTTGCAAGATATTGTCTAGCCCAGTGGTTCTCAACCTGGGGTCCCCAGATGTTTCTGGTCTACAACTCCCAGAAATCCCAGCCAGTTTACCTGCTGTTAGGATTTCTGGGAGTTGAAGACCAAAAACATCTGTGGACCCCAGGTTGAGAACCACTGGTCTAGCCCAACTTTCCTTATCCTGATGTCAACCTTCCAGATATATTGGACTACAAGGCACATTCATTTCAAACATCAAGTTGTTTGAGACTTTTTCTAGGAAACCCTTCTTTTCTCTCTGTCCTTGTACTTCAGAGAAGCCCTTTGACCCCACCTACTTCCTCAGCCAGGCTGTCTCCAACATCATTTGCTCCATTGTTTTTGGGGATCGCTTTGACTATGAGGACAAGGAATTCCGGTCCCTCATGGAGATGATCAACACTTTGTTCCGGGAGTCAAGCTCAAGCTGGGCTCAGGTAACCCATACCTCTTCTTCTGACTATTACATCAATGAAGGAGGATCTTGATGCCATCTGTAGTATCTAAAGCAATGGTTTTCAACCTGGGGTCCCCAGATGTTTTTGGCCCCCAACTCCCACAAATCCTAACAGCTGGTAAACTGGCTAGGATTTCTGGGAGTTGTAGGCCAAAATACCTGGGGACTCACAGGTTGAGAACCACTGATCTAAAGGAAATATTTCCACCTCAGAAATGTTCAGCTAGCCATGATACTAGCATAGAAGACTTGTATGTTCTTTTCATGTATTTGATTGATTGGTCAAATGCTGGATGGGGTTACACTCCCCTTGAAGGCACAGGTTCGCAGCTCAGGAGTTCTCCTGGACTCATCACTGAGCCTGAAATCTCAGGTTGCAGCGGTGGCCAGGGGAGCTTTCGCGCAGTTAAAACTTGTGCACCAGTTGTGCCCGTACCTTGGGAAGCCAGATTTGGCCACGGTGGTCCATGCTCTTGTTACAACCAGGATAGACTACTGCAATGCACTCTACATGGGGTTGTCGTTGAAGACTGCTCAGAAGCTTCAAATAGTCCAACGAGAGGCAGCCAGGTCAATAACTTGGGTGGCATACAGGCAGCATACAACTATGTCAGGCCAGCTCCACTGGCTGCCAGTTTGCTACTGGGCACAGTTCTGAACGCATCTCACTCTATGAACCATTGCAGAAATTAAGATCCTCCGGGGAGGCCCAGCTCTCTGTCCTGCCATTGTCACAGGAGCAATTGGTGGGGACAAGAGACAGGGCCTTCTCAGTGATTGCCCCCCAGCTATGGGACTCCCTTTCTGCTGAGATCAGATCGGTCCCCTCCCTCCTGTCCTTCTGAAGGATGGTAAAAACTTGGCTGTGGAACCAAGCTTTTGGGACAGTGCAATAAAGCAGCGATGACTTACCAGGCCAATTAGATTAGACGCAGATGATCAAGATGGTTTTAAACAGTGTATTTTAATATTGAGACAAATGTTTTTAATGTTTATGTATGCATATAATGAATTCTTTGTGCTGTATATATGCTGTTCTCTCATACATAAATAAATGTATCTGCAATCTTTATTTTATTTGCCTTTTTCTTATATGCAGCCAAGAACTTCAGAACTCCTAAATACATCAGTCCTTCACATTCTCTGGGTTGGGGTACCTGAGAGATGCCTGTCTTGGAATCTTTAGGTCTTCTAGTACAGATACATTGATCAATCAGTCAAATACACATAAATATCATATGGATCTGGTATGCTAGAGTCACACTGGAGGACCTAGAGATTCCTAAAGATAATATTTTAAATCGAAGCCATAGATAACACTATGTAACAAAATTTGAAAAAAATATCTCTTTTTAAAAAAATGTTTTTTTTTCATTGTGTAGTACCTACTTGGAAAATAGTTGTTATACTCCAGAAACTTCATCTTTGAGGCTGCCCATCTATGTTGAATTGGTTGAGACACAATGAGATATTCATTTAAAAAACAGAGCTGGAAAATCCTGGATAGGGATTCTTGCAGCCGTCCCTTATTAATGGGAAGTGGGATTCAGATAATGGAGAAGCATTAGTTTACTTGAAAGGAGAAGACAGTGCAATTCCAAATGCACATTAGTCTTTCCCAGGAGCAGACAGCGGGAATTTAGTGAGTGAAGCACTAAAGCAAGGAAATAGCTTTCTGCCTGCCATACAAAAAGGGATTTGAGCATGAGATGTGGCACTTCCATGGACAGAAGTCTGAAACAGAATGCCACCTAAAGAAGTTTCTGATTGTACTTAGCTCACATAGAAATTCTCCTGGGCAAAACTAGGAAAACACTACTGATGCCAGGGAGTAATATGGCAGATCTTCAAATTGGCATGTTTTGTCTTCTCATGTAGTTATACGACATGTACGAGAGCTTTCTGAAGTATTTCCTAGGACCCCCCGCCAAAGTCTATGATAGCCTGGAAAATTTGAGGCTCTTTGTTGCCAAGAAAGTGAAGATGAACAGAGAGAACTTTGACTCTGACTTCCAACGGGACTTCATCGATTGCTTCCTCACCCAGATGGAAAAGGTATTTGGGTGTTTCATAAAGGACGTGAAGAATCCGGGGAAATTCCCCTGTCAACAAGAGCTCGATGGTGGGCCCTTAAATATTGATCAGTGTTTTCAGACTGGGCTCAGGTCTGATTCATCATCAGCCCAGAATTATTACACTAGCAACTGATTCAAGCTTAACTCTTTAAAAAGTCTCTTCTATTGATATTTCTTCATCCTTTTTATCTAATCTGGGTTTTGACATGGCACTTAAATCCATTAAACAAAGACTATGGGACATTGCTTTCTGTGAGCTGCATTCTCGCTCATGTGTTTCTTGTTCCCCAAGTGCCCTGAATATACACTATGCTAGGCCTCTCCAAGAAGCAAATTATCTTATGAACTATTTGTGTAGGAGATTTATTTTAATTGCTTTGTATTAATATTTGTATTTTGCTTCGCATTGTAATTGCTTATTGCTTGTATTGATGTATTGTGGGCTCGGCCTCATGTAAGCCGCACCGAGTCCCTTGGGAGATGGTAGCGGGGTATAAATAAAGTTTTATTATTATTATTAACTTGACTGTGGCCAAATATCACTGCATATTCTCTAAGGCAGGGCGCAATGTGTTCCTAATTGAAGTGCTGTGAGGTAGATTTGCAGGAGTCCCATGGGCAAGACTTTGCCTGTCTAATAACCAGGATGTTGAATGTATGTATCACACCTTATTGTCCTGCAGATTTTATAAGCAGGCTTGGCTACACGTTATTAAACCACTACTGAGAAACTTACCCAGTAATTCAAGCCAATTCCATTTAAAGTTTTTACTAGGTGACAAGTTTCTCCCATGTGACCTTGGCTGTTGACAAGTTTCTCTCTGAGGTAACCAGGTTAAGACAAGATAAGACAACTTCCTGTGTTGGACTCAGGCTGAAACTTGACTTGTATCTTTTGTAGTGTTCTTGCCCATGTTTGTGTCATCCTGCATTCCATGTCGTCCTGTGTTTAATTGCTCTTATTGGTTTGTTGGTCCGTTTGCAGTTGTGTATCTTTTGTCATTGAGCAGCTTGGGTCTCTGGACTGTAATAAAGTTATAATGATTTGAAGATCTTCTAACTCCAGGCATCTTGATGTCATCCAAATTACAATTCTTTTCTGCTCCCTGATACATGTCTATGAGTTTAGGAGTTTTAGTTCAAAACACTTGTAAGGCATCAAGATTCCTATCTCGCTCTGAGGCCACCAGTGGTTTCATATTGATCAAGATAGAAGATGATCCCAGTACATTTCTCAAAACCCTGCCATTTATACTGCTGGATGTGTCTTTGATAAGGAACATTAGGCCAGGAAATGAAAATGCATTATGATCATATCCATAATATTTTATGCAAAGAGAAAATGGCAATAGTTTTAATCAAGACTGGTCATTTTGCAATGTCTGGAACTGCTGCTAACAGCCAATATCATTCCTAGTTTGCATTTCAAGTACAAAATGAAATGGAACTACATTCTGGTTCTCATCTTAAAGAGATTCTATCAAAACATTAGGAAGAACTTCTTCCCCATAAGAACTATTCCACAGTAGAACAGGCTACCTGGAAGAGTGGTAGATTCTTCTGCTTTAAAAAGTCTTTAAAAAGTGGTTGGATTGGCATCTTTTAAATATGCTTTAGTTGCATATTCTTCTGTAGTAAAGGGTTGGTGGGCTAGATGGATGTTAGGATACCTTCCAGCTCTGAATTCTAGGATTTGAGTGACTGGGAAGGAAATATGTAACTTGTCCAGTCTCCTTTCACCCTCAAAACAGAATACACTTTCCCAGTCTTGCTATCAAGGGCCTTCCTGGAGTGTTCTCACAATGAATTTGTTCTTTCCTATTTCAGGAAAAAAACAAGCCAGCAAGTGAATTTAATGAAAGGAACTTAGAGCTCACTATCCAGAACCTGTTTGTCGCTGGAACAGAGACAGTCAGCTCCACCATAAGATATGGGTTTCTGTATCTAATGAAACATCCTGAGGTTCAAGGTATGGAATGGTGGGCAATGACAAGGGGAAAACTAGTTGACTATCCCCTCAACCTTTAGGGCAAAGGCCCTCACATAAAATTTCAGGATTCTTCCCAAAACTGGTATTCAGAGGTTGGCTATCTCTGAAAACAGATGTTCCATTTGGTTATATAGACATTAGAAACTGAACTCCCATTCAGAATTCTTAATCTGGAGATTAATTCACAGCTACTATATTTTTGACAGCAAAAATGCATGAAGAAATTGATAAAGTGATTGGCAACAATCGTGTCCCAAACATTGAAGACCGGAGCCAGATGCCATACATGGATGCTGTCATCCACGAAATACAGAGATGCAGTGATCTCGTTCCCATGGATTTGGCCCACAGGGTTATCCGTGACACTGAATTCAGAGGATACCTCATCCCTAAGGTATAAGCAGTAAGGATTGCAAGTAACCCCTAGTGATATGTTGTTCCGAAATGCTGCTATATTTTTATTCAGTGCTTCATTTCCCCCAAAGCCATCCTAAGTATATTTGGAAATGCCTATGGACATTGTCTAGTTCTGGATGTTGTGTGAGCATTGTAGGCACCATTCACAATGAAGCACATGATACACAGAGAACAGTTTGGGATTTATTTCTCGTGTCAGTCAATTATATTACATTTCTAACAGAACATAGCAAACAAACAGAGAAAATACAAAATGTGTGAGTTTGGTAGTTGATTAAATGTCCTTTGACCAGTATCTGGCCACTTGGAGTGCTTCTGGTGTTGCTGCAAAAAGGTCCTCAATTGTGCATGTGGCAGGGCTCAGGTTGCATTGCAGCAGGTGGTCTGTGGTTTGCTCCTCTCCGCACTCACATGTCGAGGATTCCACTTCATAGCCCCATTTCTGAAGGTTGGCTCTGCATTTCGTGGTGCAAGAGCGCAGTCTGTTCAGCACCTTCCAAGTCGCCCAGTCCTCTGTGTGCCCAGCGGGGAGTCTCTCATTTGGTATCAGCCATTGGTTGAGGTTCTGGGTTTGAGCGTGCCACTTTTGGACTCTCACTTGCTGAGGTGTTCCAGCGAGTGCCTCTGTAGATCTTAGAAAACTATGTCTGGATTTAAGTCGTTGACGTGCTGACTGATACCCAAACAGGGGATGAGCTGGAGATGTCTCTGCCTTGGTCCTTTCACTATTGGCTGCCACTTCCCGGTGGATGTCAGGTGGTGCGATACCGGCTAGACAGTGTAATTTCTCCAGTGCTGTAGGGTGCAGACATTTTGGGATAACAAAAGGTTATTTATTGGTTTCAGCTGATAACAAAGTTTGCAACTACACACATGTCCTGGATCTCAACATTAGCCATCCTGCCTGCTGAGCCAATGATTTATTTATTTCATCTCAAAAACATTGCATACATAAGTATAAAACTGATATAATTAGAAGGAGCACGTGGCTAAATAATTTTTGACCAAAACTGAGCAACAGCAACCGCATTGTCTGTAGCTTTAAACAATTCCTTCTCTGTACATGAAGCAGGGCATTGTGGACAAGAATACAGGAGTGGACCTGTTTGTTCTACTCCACAGTCACACAAGGTGGAGGATTCTTTTAGATGGTTCAATTTTGCCAGGTTGTCTTTTGATCTGCCCACTCCAAGTCTGTTCAGGGACTTCCAAGTTGACCACTCTTGGTTTTCCCCTGGAGTTAGACCCTCGTGGGGGACCATCCAATTGAGATTTCCTTATTTAGCTGCCCAGAATGATGCTCTTTCTGGTAAGACATGTTTCAGAGTTCAATCTTGTCTACTAAATCTGGATCACATAAGTTGTACTGAACTCACAAGCTATGTCACCACTAAAGTACAAAGGACTGTGATTGCAAGAAAGAGAAGGTAAATGTTGTTGGTTGGTTACACTGAACGTTTAAATAGTATTCATGGCAACCAATGGGTGACAGACCAGGCTGTGCTCTAAAATGACCTGATGCCATTCCTGAACCTTTGAATTTCCCACCACAACCCTATTTATATTTTCTGCAGGGGACAGAAATCTACCCTGTTCTCAGCAGTGTCCTTCATGACCCAAAAATGTTTAAAAGACCCTTTGCTTTCGACCCAGAGAATTTCCTGGATGAGAATGGGCGTTTCAAGAAGAATGACGCCTTTGTCCCATTTTCCTCAGGTACAGTCCTTTCCCACATTTTGCAAAGGAGAAGTAGAAGTCCAACCTGTTTGGTGTTGCCCCACATGCCTGGCTTTTATTCCTATAATTTTAATTTATTTATTTTTTTGGTCATGTCAGAAGTGACTTGAGAAACTGCAAGTCGCTTCTAGTGTGAGAGAATTGGCTGTCTGTAAGGATGTTGCCCAGGGAACACCCAGATGTTGTGATGTTTTAACATCCTTGTGGGAGGCTTCTCTCATGTCCCCGCATGGGGAGCTGGAGCTGATAGAGGGAGCTCATCAGCGCTCTCCCCAGGTTTGAACCTGCGACCTGTTGGTCTTCAGTCCTGCCAGCACAGGGGTTTAACCCACTGTGATGCCAGGAGCTCCTATTCCTATGATCATGAGTGTCCTTGATCTCTCACAAAAAGCAGCCTATCTTCCTGTAGTACTCACCTACTGCACACAGCCGAACCAAAGGTTTTATATTATGAAGATCTTTCCATTGTTATTTTTGTAGCTTGAGTATTTATACTGTTTCTAAGTAGTTTCTAAGCATTCTCGAGTCTTCCCAGCTTTCACTGACGGTATCAATAACTGAGATGTAATTATTTGCTAATTTCTTTCTTAAAGAAAGAAACAAATAATTGAAGGGTTTTTTCTTTCCAATTTAAAAATTAAATCTTTAACAATTGTGCAGTTTTTAAATACTAATTGCAGTTTAGGACTTCTCTATACTACTTTTCACATGTTTTCATACAGTAAACAGTATTTTCCGTAGTAGTTCCTGGCACAGAAAATAGTGCAGATGAAAACATATTTGGCAAAAAAAAAGCATTTTTCTCTCCAGAAAATAATTGTTTCCAGCAGAGATATTTTCCCCCAGAAATTGTTTATGCAGGAAAAAAATTGTGGAGAAAAAACTCAAAATTGTGAAGATTTCAAAAATTCAGGATTTATCTCACCAGGGTTACTGAACACAAAATTGTTTTTCTAGAGTTTTCTAATACCTAATCATCCACTGAGAAGTTTTTAGGGGGTGCTGCTTGAAGGCAACCACAATGTGGTACTAATTACAGAAGTTATAAAATCTAGAGTTTAATGTAGTATTAAATCCCAGTATCATGAGTTATGAATTTGCAAAGAATCTTTGGACAGGTAGGCATGGCCAGAAAAGACCCAGAAAAAAAAGTGAAGACATGAGCAAAAACTTGCTTGAGGTGCAATTGCTAGTCATGAAAGAAAGTCCATAGAGCCAGCCCTTAGGTTTTTACTATATAGCAGAAGAAATCCGAAAATAAGCTGTTTATGTCCTTTCCTCCTGATGATTCTGTCTTTTTTTGCTTGCAGGGAAGCGGATCTGTCTTGGTGAATCCTTGGCTCGCATGGAGCTCTTCCTCTTCTTCACCACCATCCTGCAGAACTTCCTCCTGAAGCCCATTATCCCCCCTGAAGACATTGACCTCACTCCTCTGGAAAGTGGCTTGATCACTATCCCACCCATCTATAAGCTCTCCATCATCCCACGCTGACCCAAAGGTCACATTGTCTACAGCCATTGATCTCTTACACTTGCTGAATCCCACAGCTCTTTAGTGGAGACCCCATAATCTGTTTTCTGCTGAATACTCTATGTAGAGAAGGAGGAAACTTGTGATTCACTTCAGACCAAGACATATGCTTTGAGCCTGAAAGACTGTCATGTTCTCTTCTCTATATTGATCTCTGTACCAAAAGAATGGGGTAAATCTTGAGATATAAAATGTAACAACAATATATTCATTAAATTAGATTGATCTGCTGTCAGTGGATCTTTGTGGCCACTGTCTAGCTTCCAGCTGGTTCCTGTGCTGCCTGTGTAGGTTACAATTCTTACAGAGGCTGAATCCCACAACTCCTCAGTCAAACCCCCATATTCTATTTTTTGCCGCATGAAAAGAGTGAAGTTTATGATTCGTTGTGGACTAAGACATATACTTTGAGTCTAAAAGCCTGTGATCCTATCTTCTCTGTTTTTAATTTCTGTACCTAAGGAATGTGTACATCTTGAAATATAAAACATACAAACAATACCTTGAGCATTTGCTTTGGACCCCCTTTTTCATGGGATAGCAGGTCCTTTACAGTAAGGACCACTGCTAATGCCTCAAACGCAGCCTGTAGATGTTTCATTTTCACAGGGGTGAGGGGCGCAGGACTCCTGTGAAAGTGGGAACATTGTGAATAACACACATTTTTAATCTGAGAGAAACTATCCATTGGAGGACCTACAAATGCCCAAACATGTGTTCTCCAGTGCAACTCCAATTAACCAGTGCAACTCTAACTCAACTCCAATTCTAGAATCCCCCCATTTCTGTCTGTCTGTCTATCTGTCTGTCTGTCTGTCTGTCTGTCTGTCTGTCTAACTGTCTATCTATCTATCTATCTATCTATCTATCTATCTATCTATCTATATTAGTATATACCTTGTATTCGCACGTGTCAAAGACCCTGCTGCCCCTTTGCTTTCACTTCTTCTGTAGCTTTCTTTCCTTCCCTCTCTTCATACCTCTTCCACTTTTATTTCTGTTCCTTCCTTCTCTCCTTTTCCTTTTCCTTCCTTCCTTCCCCTTCCCCTTCCTTTTATTTTCTTTTTTTTCTTTTTTCCCTTTCTATCCTTCCTCTCTTCCCCTTCCTTCCTCCCATCTCCTGCTCTGAGAGGGCCAATTTAGTCATGTTTCCAAGGCTCTCTTCCTGGTTCCTTCCTTCCTCCCTTCCCCTCAAATGCATGTTAGTTTTCTTTTCCAGTGATATTATGGAGGTCCACTTGATCTAGCAACAGCCAGTCCAGTGACATCACAGACAGTCTCTTCATCTAGCAATAGCCTTTGTGGTACAGACAGACAAGCATACACACACACACACACACACACACACACACACACAGATGGAGAGAGAGACGTTCAAATTTTATAGGGCCTTTTTGGTACCAATCTATCCCTATATTTTTGACATTTTCTCATTTTATTACTATCTCTGCTATAATTTTTCTGATAGATCGCAAACTTTAGGAAAACTGCCCCTTTTCATGCTGAATATCACCTGTGGTTTTTTGGCCCAGCCAGCTCAGCCCAATGAAATATACATCAGAGTGGAGATCCAACTCCCTGCACAGAAGGAATGAGCAAAGGGATATTTCCCAAGGCTAGTACAATCCCAACCTAACAGCAGCTAGAAATCTATACATTTCCTTATGAGAAGGAATAGAACAGTCATCGCTATTTGCATTTGCATCACATTACATCATGACTAAATTCTTTGCATGCCAGTATGAGTGTTCACAGCCAATAATAAAAATTGGGGGCATATTACCATATTAAAAGCTCTTCCATGCGCATGATTGTTATCATTAAAGTGAATTCTAGGCTACTATAGTTCATAATGTACCTGTTAATAGGTTACATTCTCATTATTTACTTCTCTGTTCTTCTCTCCTACTTACTCCATGACTATTGGTATCTGTTTCCACATTCATTTTCTTGTCAAAGGCACAATCCAGAACTACAAGAGCAATCTAAAGGATCTTCTAAAGCAGTGTTCTTCAAACTGTACTCCTGCAAGTGTTTTGGACTTCAGTTCCCAGAAATCGCAGCCAGCTTACCAAATCTTAGGAATTGTGAGAGCTGAAGTCCAAAACATCCAGAAGAGCAGAATTTGAGAAACACTGTTTGAAAGGAAAGCAATTAATAATAAAGTCTTTTATTTATTTTCTTATGGGGTCCCTAGTTTTTCAACATCATCAGTTACAATTCTGTATGCAAGCAATTATTTGATATCTTTATCAAATGCTATAAAGCATTCAAAAATTATACATCTGTTGGTCATGGATTCCTGGTTTCCAAAAGATGTGGGTTTGCATCTCGTCTGTGGGTTTCACTATTGACAGTTGAGCTTCACTTGAAGTATCTCTTCATCTGCTGGACATCTATGTTGGAATGAATCAAAATGAAATGCTGTAGGTTGTTGTAGGTTTTTTTGGTTATGTGGCCATGTTCTAGAAGCATTCTATCCTGATGTTTTGTCCCAGACTTCACAACCTCTGAGGATGCTTGCCATGGATGCAGGCAAAATGTCAGGAGAGAATGCTTCTAGAACACGGCCATATAGCCCGAAAAACCTACAACAACCCAGTGATTCCAGCCATGAAAACCTTTGACAGTACATTGAAATGCTGTGCATAGAAAGACATGGTGACAATACATGAATGCTTTGTTGGTGTACCACCACCACCGCCAACAACAACAAAATCATTCTGAGCATAAGCATGTGCAATTAATCAGGGTGTCCACCGTTCAAATAAATTTATTGCATTTTTACAATGCAGTTATGCCAGCCACATGATCTAGAAGGAGTCTATAGACAACGCTGGCTCTTTGGCTTAGAAATGGAGATGAACACTACCCACTAGAGTCAGACATGACTAGACTTAATGTCACAGTGAAACCTTTACCGTTACTATCCAGTGGTTAGGACAATTTCCACTTCTACTTATATATTCAAGGAGTGCCATTCCCTCTGGCTGTTGGTGCTGGTGATCTCAATTGCCAGACATGATTTTATTGCAAGGGTTCAAGAAAGCTAAGCAGGTTTTTTTCCCTGCAGGAAGACAAATCTACATGCCCTCTCTGAAAATCTACATGCCCTCTGTGATAATAAAAATGATTAACTAGGAAATAAATTATTAATGTTGACTCTGGTTCTACAGATAAACATCCCACATGTACATGTAATTTAGTTATGTAAGGCAGAAGGTGGGGCCCAATCCAGGCTGTATTAAATACATGGAGTGGACCCATTCTGGGTAAAGGAGCATAAGGAGTGCAAATTCCATAATGGATCTATCCGGAGCAGTCATTCTTTTCCTTGTCATCTACCTGTCTTGCCTTGCCATTGTATCATTTAAGAGGAAACTATCAAACAAGGGGAGACTTCCTCCAGGACCCACTCCCTTGCCTGTGATTGGGAATTTCCTACAGATCAAGTCATCAGAAACCTTAAAATCTCTTCTCAGGGTGAGTATCCCTTGGAAACACAGTATGAGCAAGTTGGGGATGGTGGCAAATCTAAGGAGGCTATCAAGATTTATTCAAGGTTCTGCTGTCTCCTGACCCTTCTCCCATTTCTTCTCTTGCAAAAACCTCAGGAGACTCTTCCGTTTCCCTGCAATTCCTCCCAAATAATCATGAATCTATTTTTTTTCTGTGTCTGATTTTGGTGATCTTTTCCTAGAGTTTCCTCCAACTAAAACATCTCCCTCCACCAGCCCATGGTCCTTCTGCTTGCTTGTGGACTGTCTAGGCAACACCCATCTTAAAGGACAGCAGGCACTTGTAATTACCTGCATAATTTCAAGCTGACTTTGATTTGTTTGGATACACACTGACAGTTTTTTAGACTGTTCTGTCAGTGGATCTTGAACAGGATAAGAAGACTGTAGAAAGTTATTAGTTTTTTTGTCAAACACTTCATTTATCTGAGGTGTGACCAAACTTGGGTCTCTTTCTCCTTGAACTGAGAAAAATACCTGGATGTGGATTTTAGTGCAGACAATGGTTTGCTCTGGCCAAATCTAATGTGTTTACTTTAAAAAAAAAAAACAGAAAAGCCTGTACTATGGAATTATTTAGCCATGAGGGGAGCAGGGTAAGAATTATTATAATCTGAAACACAACAAGATGAGTCCACAGCAGACACTCTGCTGGCTGTTGTATTGGATCACACTTCGGACATTTCCCAAGTGTCTAGGACTGTGTGATGTATCGGCAAATAATGCATGCAGATCCCAGTAAGGTGGCCTTTTGCAGCTGGCAGATGGTAATTTTGTCAGCGCCGATTGTGTTTAAGTGCAGGCCAAGGTCTTTAGGCACTGCACCCAGTGTGCCGATCACCACTGGGACCACCTTGACTGGCTTGTGCCAGAGTCTTTGCAGCTTGATCTTTAAATCCTCATATCGTGTCAGCTTTTCCAGTTGTTTCTCTTCAATCCTGCTGTCACCTGGGATTGCAACATCGACAATCCATACTTTGTTTTTTAACATAATTGTGAGGTCTGGAGTATTGTGCTCCAAAACTCTGTCAGTCTGAATTCAGAAGTCCCAGAGTAATTTGACATTATTATTATTATTATTATTATTATTATTATTATTATTAGTCAAAGGGTGAATCTCCTACCTCACTGACAGTATTAATTTATTTATCATGTCAGGAGCGAACCAAAACAGTTGTATTGCATTAAAAACAAACAAACAAACACAAAGTTTGCAGGCTTGGTAGTCTATTAAATGTCTTTGACCAGTAGCTGGCCACTTGGAGTGCCTCTGGTGTTGCTGCAAGAAGGTCCTCCATTGTGCATGTGGCAGGGCTCAGGTTGCATTGTAGTAGGTGGTCAGTGGTTTGCTCTTCTCCACACTCGCATGTCATGGATTCCACTTTGTAGCCCCATTTCTTAAGGTTTGCTCTGCATCTTGTGTTGCCAGAGCGCAGTCTGTTCAGCGCCTTCCAAGTCACCTCAGCAAATGAGAATCCAAAAGTGGCAGGTTAAAACCCAGAACCTCAATCACTGGCTGACACCAAAGGAGAGACTCCCTCCTCGGCACATAGAAAACTGAGCAAACAAGAGATTTATGCTAGATTTCGTATCACAAAATCAAAGCAGAACACTTCCCAAGGGTTTAGGACTGTGTGATATATTTTTGAATGATGCACACAGATCCAAGTAAGGTGGCCTTTGCAGTTGGCAGATCGTGATTTTAGCAATGTGTATTGTTTCCAAATGCTGGCTGAGATCTTTTGGCACGGCACCCAGTGTGCCGATTAGCACTGGGACCACCTGTACTGGTTTATGCCAGAGCCTTTCCTTTGAGATCAGCAGATCTTTTGTAACGGTGATCTTTTGATGTGGTTCTGTCCCATTGCTCAAGTGTGAAAGAACTATCATTATGCTGTAGGACTCATTCGTTTTTGCACACTTGAGCTATGGGACAGAACCCCATCAAAAGGTCACCATTACAAAAGATCTCTTGATCTTGTAACAGACTGTCCCTACATAACAGGTTATTCTCCCACACAGCTGAGTGAAACATATGGCCCCGTGTTCACTGTTTATTTTGGACCACGCCCGATTGTGGTCTTGTGTGGACATGATGCCGTGAAAGAAGCCCTGATAGACAAGGCAGAAGAATTCAGTGGAAGGGCCACCCACTTTACCCTGGAACGGACCTTTGAAGGACATGGTGAGCCATTCCTATTAGCTTTGCTATCATGATTCCCATTTTCTGCTACTTCCTGTTGGCTGCTTCATATCTTTTCTGTTTCCCGCAGGGGTGGTCTTTGCCAATGGAGAGCGTTGGAAGCAACTACGGCGATTTTCTCTCACCGTCTTGAGGGATTTTGGAATGGGGAAAAAATCCATTCATGAGCGAATCCAGGAGGAGGCCCAATTCCTGCTGGAGGAATTCAGGAAGACTAAGGGTGATTTGAGATGTGATAAATAGCAATACAACCTGTCATTCTCAACAAGAGTGTCAAAGCATGTCATAAAAAAAATATCAGCCATGTCATTTTCCATTCTGGCATCTAAATCATTAGAAGTTTGCCCTTCCTCTAGTTTTGCTCTAGTAGCATGAGTAATGTAGTTAGGGCAGGATACCAAAGTATTGTAGTATATAATGGAGGTCAGCTGTGACCAGCAGTGCTGCAGAATTTGAGGAGGCACGAGTGGAGGGTGAAAAAGAGAAACGTGCCAAGAGGAAGGCGCATCAAGCCAACCCCGGCCGAGACCGCCTTCCACCTGGAAACCAATGCCCTCACTGCGGAAGAAGATGCAGAGCAAGAATAGGGCTCCACAGCCACCTACAGACTCACAAGAATTCTGAACCTGGAAGACTATCCTACTCGGCCAACGAGGGATCGCCTAAGTAAGTAAGTACCCACGATAATAAAGATAATAGAGATAATAATAATATAATAATAATAATAATAATAATAATAATAATAAACTTTATTTATACCCTGCCACCATTTCCCCAAAGGGGACTGGTTACGAGGCCGAGCCCAGAATACAACAGTACAAGCAATAACAACAACAACAATACAAGCAATTAAAATCAAACAAGACAATAAACAATAACATTTTCTGTGAATTTTCTGGTTAATACTATGGATGAGATACTTCACTGGGAAATGTAGCTATGATTACATAGCTACAATGACTTTGGTATCCTGATCTAGCTACATTACTCATGCTACTAGAGTGAAAACTAGAGGAAAGACAAACTTCTAATGATTTAGATGCCAGAATGGTACCCTGACCAAGCTACATTACTCATGCTACCCCCAAAAAAGACTCCCCATGTTTTAAATCATTTAGAATCTCCAAATAGAGGAGATACTGGGGTCCTGGAGGATATAAATCATTTAGAATCTCCAAATAGAGGAGATACTGGGGTCCTGGAGGATATAATGGTGAGCAATGACTCATACAGGAGCCCCCGGTGGCGCAGTGGGTTAAAGCACTGAGCTGCTAAACTTGTTGACCGAAAGGTCGCAGGTTTGAATCCGGGGAGCGGCGTAAGCACTGTCAGCCCTAGCTTCTGCCAACCTAGCAGTTCGAAAACATGAAAATGTGAGTAGATCAATAGGTACCGCTCTGGCGGGAAGGTAACGGAGCACCATGCAGTCATGCTGGCCACATGATCTTGGAGGTGTCTACGGACAGGCGGCTCTTCGGCTTAGAAATGGAGATGAGCACCACACCCCAGAGTCAGACATGACTGGACTTAATGTCAGGGGACAACCTTTACCTTTACTATGCTGTGCTGACCTCATATACCAGTGAGGCATGTTGTAAAAGCAACTGTAAAATAAGGGCCACAAGACTAAATAATGTCTTTTGGCCCAACACTCCAGCCCTGACTTACCAGGCAGCAGCCACTGTGAGTGGCAGGGCTCTGTCTTCCTATTGATCGGGACTCAGTGGGATGTTATTCTTAACCTCTTTCCACAAGTGATCTCTTGTGAAATAGTCAGGAATAGAGTACCTGTTTCAAAGGCTCCTTGTACCAGAGATAGCTCATGGAAGGGGAGTGAATCAATTTGTTGCACCTGGACACTTCAAGAACTCTTCAAGAAAGACAAAGAGTTAGGCTTTGCAGATAAGAATGGTTTCTGGGATAAGATAATGAAGGCAGAAAATAAGTTGATTACCAAAATATACAAAAAAAAATATTGAGTGGACAACAGAAAAAGGACCGATAAAAGAATATATGGTCAAATGGGCTCAAAACATTGGCCACCAAATTGATTTAAAACAATGGGGAAAAACCTGAAATCAAAGACTTAAATATACCTATTCTTACGATCTGAAAGAAAATTGGTTTAAAATGCTATATAGATGGTATATCAGACCATATAAAATTTCTAAATGTTACAAAAATGCATCCAACAAGTGTTGGAAATGCGATCAACAGGTCAGAACTTTTTTTCATACTTGGTGGTCTTGTCCAAAAGCACAGCAGTTTTGGAAAATTATAAATAATGCCATACAAAAGATCTTAAAAATAAAAATTCGAAGAGAATAGGAATATTTTTATTAGGCATGCTAGACATAGAGAAAGACAAAAATAAAGATATTCTGGTTAACTTTTTGGTAACTGCAGCTAGAATAGTCTATGCAAGGAACTGGAGACTAAAAGATATACCAAAAAAGAGGACTGGTTGAGCAAAGTACTTGAGATTATGAATATGGACAGACTTACCTATTGGCTCTCTTCCAACCAAGGCTTTCCTAAGAAAGATATTAATTGGTACCTGGTAAAAGACTATTTTAAACAGAGGAAAATAGATCTCATTTGTTGAAGAGAATCAATTTTAAGGGGGGGGGGGAGAAAACGGAGGGGAAGCAGAAAAACAATAGTATAATTCTATCTATAAATAAACCAGATGATCATCAAAAGCAAGAAGGAAGTCAACAAATATTTTTATTTTTATTTTCTTCTCTCTCTCCCCCCCCTTCTATTTCCTACTTTCTATAAACCAAAATGTTCCCCAACTTTCATTGTAAAGGAAATACTTTCTTCTATTTCTTTTTTATTTTGATAAAACATCAATAAAAATATTCAAAAAAATTATTGTACCTGAATAGATAGGAGAATAGAATCTCATCACTTGCAGTGGCTGCTGCCCAGGATGTCAGGATCAGGTGACTTCCCCACAGTGTCAAATACATAGAGATCATGCATGCAAATTATTTAGGAAGGTGTAACTTTAGGTTATGTATTCATAACTGCAATCATGAAGTCAAGCCAATGTTTTTATGCAGATAAACATTTTAATATATTTTCCGACATGTTAGACAAGAACTGACATGACTTCCATATATCTGGAAGGCATCAGATTGAGGAAGGTTTAAGTTCCAGATAGATAACAGAAGCAATGGAAGAAATTGCGGTTTAGGGCATGATGCCCAAATGTGGGATGGATGGGGAAGGAATACTGAAAAAAATTAGGGAGAATAAATGAAAGGAAAAATGGAATGTTTCCTTCTTTCTAAATGTGTGGGAAAGTGGGGAGAAGAAAAATAATCTCCCCTGCAAAGGAACTTTGTAACCTTGTAACAGGTGATACTGTCACTAGAAAGGGGAGAGTTGGCAATCATTCCATTTTTCACACATCCTGCAAGGTATTGTGTAACCCAGTGGTTCTCAGCCTGTGGGTCCCCAGGTGTTTTGGCCTATAACTCGCAGAAATCCCAGCTATTAGGATTTCTGGGAGTTGATGGCCAAAAACATCTGGGGACCCCACGTTGAGAACCACTGGTCTAAGCCAACTGTCCCCATCCTGATGACAACTTTCTAGATGGGTTGCTGTAGGTTTTTTCGGGCTATATGGCCATGTTCTAGAGGCATTCCTCCTGACGTTTCGCCCGCATCTATGGCAAGCATCCTCAGAGGTAGTGAGTGAAGTGAGTGAAAAAAACCTACAACAACCCAATGATTCCGGCCATGAAAGCCTTCGACAATACAACTTTCCAGATGTTCTGAGCTAAAATTCCCATCTATCTGAAACATCTGCAGGGTATAAGAAATATCTTCAGTGAAGTGATGAGACCCCGCTTCTTCCTGTCCCTCTGTCTTGTATTTCAGAGAAGCCCTTTGATCCGACTTACTTCCTCAGTCGGGCTGTCTCCAATGTCATATGCTCCATTGTCTTTGGGGACCGCTTTGACTATGAAGATAAGGAATTCCAGGCCCTTATGGAGATGATGAACAACAGCTTCCGAGAGCTAAGCACATCCTGGTCTCAGGTAACCACCAATATCCCTCCTGGGGTATCCCTCCATGCACACAAGTCAGTAACAGGATGCTGCCCAAAGATTTTTCTGGGTGTAATTAGCCCACCTTAAACAAAATGGGACATCCAGCTAGAAATTCCCCTGGGCAAAACTAGGAAAACTCTACTGAACATGTGAACATTAGGAAGAACTTCCTGACTGTGAGAGCTGTTCAGCAGTGGAACTCTCTGCCCCGGAGTGTGGTGGAGGCTCCTTCTTTGGAGGCTTTTAAACAGAGGCTGGGTGGCTATCTGTTGGGGGTGCTTTGAATGCAATTTTCCTGCTTCTTGGCAGGGGGTTGGACTGGATGGCCCATTAGGTCTCTTCCAACTCTATGATTCTATGATGCCAGGGAGTAATCTGGCAAATGATCAACTGGACATCTTTTATCTTCTCATGCAGCTTTATGACATGTATGAAAACCTTCTGAAGTATTTCCCTGGACCCCACACTAAAATCTATGATATCCTGGAAGATATGATAAGCTTCATTGTTAAGAAAGTGAAGAAGAATAAAGACACCTTTGATCCCAACTACCCACGGGATTTCATCGATTGCTTCCTTGCCCAGATGGAGAAGGTAATTTGGTGGGTCATGAATTGATGATCGGCCAACTCCAGGCAACCTGGTGTCCTCCAGATTACAATTCTTTTCCTCTTCCCGACCCTTGGTTATGATGTTTCATCTTATAGGAATCATAGGACACCAAACTTCCTGACCTTGTCTGGAGCTATAAGACTGACCTGTAGCTGTGTATTTAAAAAGATAGGAGACTATGGCATTTGTCTAATGCATTTATACTATTGGGTAGATCAATGTGCACTTACACTGTTGGGTAGATCAATGTGACTGTGCAGTGTATTATCATCCTATTCTTAATAAAATAAGAGGTGCCAAAGAGAAATAAGTAATTAAAAAATAACAATGACTTGTTGTTTCGCATTATCTGGAACTTATTCCCTAGTTTGCATTTCATATATGAAGTTGTGGGGGGGGGGGTTTCGTGTCAGGAGCGACTTGAGAAACTGCAAGCCACTTTTGGTGTGAGAGAATTGGCCGTCTGCAAAGATATTGCCCAGGGGACATCCAGATGTTTTGGTGTTTTACTATCCTGTGGGAGGCTCCCCACTGTACAAATTTTTTGTTGTTGTTGTTGTTTTTGTCGTGTCAGGGAAACTGCAAGTCACTTCTGGTGTGAGAGAATTGGCTGTCTGCAAGGACATTGCCCAGAGGTCTCCCAGATGATTTGATGTTTAGTCATCCTTGTGGGAGGCTTCTCTCATGTGCCCGCATGAGGAGCTGGAGCTAATAGAAGGAGCTCATCCGCCTCTCCCCGGATTTGAACCTGAGACCTGTTGGTCTTCAGTCCTGCTAGCACAGGGGTTTAACCCACTACACCACCGGAGGCTCCTTTTTACTGTACAAAGTGAAATGTTACTAACCTAAAATATATTATTCTACCACAATGTCAGGAAGAACGTCTTCACTATAAGAGCTTTCCAACAGTAAAATTAACTGTCTGGAAGAGTGATAGATACTTCAGTTTTGGAAGTCTTTAAAAAGTGGTTGTATTGGGCATCTTTTAGACATTCAGTTGCATATGGGTGGACCAGGTGGCCACTGGGATGACATCCAACTCTAAAATGCTAGGATTCTTATGATGAAGAAAGAAACATGCAACTTGGTTGTGTTTTCCCAATTGTCCTTACTAGAGTGTTTTGCTCTATCCTGTTTTCAGGAAAAAGACAAGGCATCCAGTGAATTCAATGACAGGAACTTATTACTCACGACCCTGAACCTCTTCTTTGCTGGTACAGAGACAGTCAGCTCCACCCTGAGATATGGGTTTCTGTTTCTGATGAAACATCCTGAAGTTCAAGGTATGGATGGGTTGGTATGGGAAAAGCAACTAGAAACATCCCAAGGAATACAACAGAAGACATACACATACACTTTCACAATACCTCCTAAAATTGGTATTCAAAGGGTTGTCCCATTGTTGTAGGTTTTTTCGGGCTATATGACCATGTTCTAGAGGCATTCTTTCCTGACGTTTTGCCTGCATCTATGGTTGTTCCATTTGCTTATATTGACATTAGAAACTCAACTCCCTTTCAGAATGTTTACTCTGAAGATTAACTTAATGAATATTTTTGACAGCAAAAGTGCATGAAGAAATTGATCGAGTGATTGGCCACAATCGTGTCCCAAACATCGAAGACCGGAGCCAGATGCCATACATGGATGCCGTCATCCATGAAATACAGAGATGCAGTGATCTCATTCCCATGGATTTGGCTCACCGGGTTATCTGTGACACTGAATTCAGAGGATACCTCATCCCTAAGGTACAGGATGAAGGGATTGCAGGTAACCCCTAGCAATATGGGTGTACTTAGCCCACCTTAAACAAAATGGGTCAGGAAAAAAGATGGGGTATAAATAAAGTGAATAAGGAATATGTTGTTTTGAAATGGTGATCCATTTTTATGGAATATCCCCCCCCCCCCCCCMATATGCAGCATGTCTTCCTACAGCCTGAAATTTGCTATGGACATTTAATGTGGGATGTTCTGGTGGCTATTCTTATATACGTCAAATACTATATCCAAAAAGGCATTTAACACTGTCGAGTAGGATAGTTCTCCTTATTTTTGATATTCAAAACAGCTTTTGGGGTATTTGGCCGGGGGGGGGGGGGGAGTTCAAACTTGTCTCCCAAATCTGGATCACATAGTTGTACGGAAGATGTAAGCTATGTCACTTCTAAAGGATAAAGGATTGTGACTGCAAGAAAGAAAGAGGAAGGTCCCAGAAATTGTGTCATGAAGCAATGAGCAGTATTTATGGGATGTTCTACTTTACCTATTTGCTAATCTGCTCTTGGTGGAAACAGATTTAATTTTTCCTATCAGGAAAACAAAATGGTGCATGGATCTAGGTACAGATAGTCTCAATCGGTTCAGTATCTTTATGCTGAATATTTAAATGAAACATATGGGCCACCAATGGATGGATGGTGGACCACATGCGGCTCTAGAACCTCCTGGTGCCATTCCTGTAACTTTGAATGTCCCACTAAAACCCTGTTTCTTTTTTTTCTACAGGGGACAGAAATCTATCCTGTTCTCAGCAGTGTCCTTCATGACCCCAAAATGTTTAAAAGACCCTTTGCTTTCTACCCAGAGAATTTCCTGGATGAGAATGGGCGTTTCAAGAAGAATGACGCCTTTGTCCCATTCTCCTCGGGTACAGTTCTTCCATACACTTAAATTATTTTTCCAATATTTTCTCATCTCTAATATGATGGTCTCACAAAGAAGTCTGTTGTAAAATCTAGAGTTCATATTTAATATTAGGATAAACTGAACAAGTTACAGATTTGGAAAGAATCTTCAAACTCTCAAGACCAGCAATCCCATCTCAAGCAGGTTTTGCCCATGACCTCACTTTGCTCTGTGTCTATTGATCTCAATGACTTTTCTGGTCATGCTTAACAAATGGTAAAGAGTCTGAAGATTCTTTCCAAATCTGTAACTTGATACTAGGATTCCCATAAGTTCAGTTTATCCTAATATTAAATATGAACTCTAGATTTTACAATAGACTTCTTTGTAAGAAGAAGGAGACTCATCAGGAGGGAAGGGCATAATCGTCTTAGATATTCTATATAATTTCTCTCAAGACCAGCAATCCCATCTCAATCCCATGACCTCACTTTGCTCTGTATCTATTGATCTCAATGTCTTTTCTGGTCATGCCTAACGAATGGTAAAGTATATAGAATATCTAAGACAATTATGCCCTTCTCTCCTGATGAGTCTCCTTTTTTGGGTTGTTGTAGGTTTTTTGGGCTGTATGGCCATGTTCTAGATACATTCTCTCCTGATGTTTTGCCTGCATCTTTGGCAGGCATCCTCAGAGGCATTGTGGTCTGTTGGAAACCAGGAAAATTGGGTTTATATATCTGTTGAAAGTGAAGGGTGGGAGAAAGAACTCTTGTCTGTTGGAACTAGGTAGAGCTACCTCTGATGCCTGCCATAGATGCAGGTGAAATGTCTGGAGAGAATACTTCTAGAACATGGCTATACAGCCCGAAAAACCTACAACAACCCAGTGATGCCAGCCATGAAAGCCTTCAACAACAGTCTCCTTTTTTGTTTGCAGGGAAACGGATTTGTCTTGGTGAAGCCTTGGCCCGCATGGAGCTTTTCCTCTTCTTCACCACCATCCTGCAGAGTTTCCAGCTGAAGTCTCTTGTACCCCCTGAAGATATTAACACCAGTCCTCAGGAGAGTGGCTTTGCCACCATTCCACCTTTCTACCAGCTCTCCATCATCCCACGCTGAGGCAAAGGATGCATGGTCTACAGCCGTCACTCTCTTATATATGCTGAATACCACAGCTCCTCAGTGGAGACCCCACATTCTGTTTTCTAGCTCAGACATAGTTTCTTTTAAATAAATTGGTCTCTGCACTTCATCCACAGATCAGGGCTTGTTAGAATGTAGGCTTCTTGATAACCCCCGCTGAGAGTCAAGAACCTCATGATTAACTGTATACTGTGACATCTGCCTTGAGTCCAAAGGCTGTGATGCTGTTTTCTCTAGTTTTGCCTCTATACCTATGAAGTGTTTAAGCCTTGGGGTCACCTTGAAATATAACAGCAATGCATTGAGCATTTGTTCATTTGCTTTTGTTTTGTTTTTGTGTTTTGCTTCAGGTTTATCATAAGGCTACTTTGCTCTAAGGACTACTGTTGATCCCTCAAACAGAGCTGGACATCTAGATCAACAAAGCAGACCCCTCATTTTAATAATAATAATAATAATAATAATAATAATACTTTATTTGTACCTCTCTACCATCTCTCCAAGGGACTCGGTGCGGCTTACATGAGGCCGAGCCCACAATACAACAATAAAAACAATAGCAACAGTAATACAAAACAATAAATAAACTGTCGAAGGCTTTCATGGCTGGAATCACTCAGTTCTTGTGGGTTTTTTCGGGCTATATGGCCATGTTCTAGAGGCATTTCTCCTGACGTTTCGCCTGCATCTATGGCAAGCATCCTCAGAGGTGAGGTCTGCTGGAACTGGGAAAAAGGGGGTTTATATATCTGTGGAATGACCAGGGTGAGACAAAGGGCTTTTGTAAGTTGGGCTAGGTGTGAATTTTTTCCCAGTTCCAGCAGACTTCACCTCTGAGGATGCTTGCCATAGATGCAGGCGAAACGTCAGGAGAAATGCCTCTAGAACATGGCCATATAGCCCGAAAAAACCCACAAGAACTGAGTACATACAATTAAATTACAAATTTAACTAAGCGATGTTTAAAAACCTATGGCTGGGCCAAATGTAAGAATTAAAATTTTAAAAATAATGCTGTGTGTGACCAGGCGACATATAACTAGGATAGGAATTTTGAAGATGAATAGAGCGTGCAGACAATCCTAGATCACTGATAAAGTGTGTTTAGGGACATAATGCTGGGAGTTTCCTTATTCTGGGAAGGCACACTAGAACAAACATGTTTTCAGGCTCCTCCTAAAGACTTCCAGAGTTGTCTGATGTCCTTGGGGAGTGAGTTCCCGAGTTGAGGGGCCACCACCGAGAAGGCCCTCTCCCTCGTCCCCACCAATTGCACTTGCGATAGAGGTGGGAGCACAAGCAGGGCCTCTCCAGATGATTGAAGAGATAGTGTGGATTCGTACACAGAGATGCGGTCACGCAGGTAGGCAGGTCCCAAACCGTTTAGGGTAAGCACCTGCACCTTAAATTGGGACCAGAAAATAAACGGCAGCCAGTGGAGCTCCTTAAACAGGAGGGTTGACCACTCCCTGTCACAGGGTTTAGGACACAAGATCCATAATGAGATCGGGAATATTGTGAATAACAAATCTGTGGGTTTTTTTAACCTAAGAGATTGCCCCTTTGAGAGTCTCTAGGTCCTCCAGCCTAACTCCATGGTCAGCTTCCAGTGGAGGATCGACAAATGACTAAACAGGTTTTCTATCTAGGCATCTCTAGGTCCTCCAGTGTGACTCACAGTTAACTATATGTTTTAGAGAGAACATATTAATCAAATCTGAGAGTAATAAAATATGTAAAAACAACAAATATGAAGGCCTGACTATAATACCAGAAGCACCCAATGAGCAGTAGGGTGAGCTAGAATAAGTATTCACAACGTATTCAACCAGACTCCAGCAAAGGATCACCGCCTTGTCGGGGTGCTGGAGCTTGAGCACCTCAATGATGTCATGAGCGAAACCGTGAAGGGACACCCAAGACGGGACGGTTGTGGCAGAGAGGTCAGACCAAGCGTGATCCCTGGGGAAGGCAATGGCAAACCACTCCAGTATCCTTGCCAAGAAAACTAAATGGACCAGTACAACCAGAGATATGTCGGTATGCCATTGAAAGATGGGACTCCCAGGTCGGAAGATGGCCAAAATGCTACTGGGGAGGAGCAGAGGATAAGTTCAACTAGCCCCAGATGTGATGACGCAGCTAGCTCAAAGCCGAAAGGAAGGCTAGCGGCCGACGGTACTGGAGGTGAACGACGAATCCGATGCTCTAAAGATCAACACACCATAGGAACCTGGAATGTAAGATCTATGAGCCAGGGCAAATTTGATGTTGTTATTGGTGAGATGTCAAGACTAAAGATAGACATTCTGGGGGTCAGCGAACTGAAATGGACTGGAATGGGCCACTTCACATCAGATGACCAGATCTACTACTGCGGACAAGAGGAACATCGAAGAAATGGAGTAGCCTTCATAATTAATAAGAAATTCGCTAAAGCGGTGCTTGGATACAACCCAAAAAATGACAGAATGATCTCAATTCGAGTGCAAGGAAAGCCTTTCAACATTACAGTGATCCAAATATATGCCCCAACCACAGCTGCTGAGAAGCAGAAGTAGATCAGTTCTATGAGGATCTGCAGGACCTACTGGATAATACACCAAAAAGAGACATTATTTTCATTACAGGAGACTGGAATGCCAAGGTGGGAAGTCAAATGACAACTGGGATCACAGGCAAGCATGGTCTGGGAGAACAAAATGAAGTGGGACGCAGGCTGATAGAATTTTGCCAGGAAAACTCGCTGTGTATAACGAATACTCTCTTCCAACAACCTAAAAGACGGCTTTATACATGGACCTCGCCAGACGGTCAACACCGAAATCAGATTGACTACATCCTTTGCAGCCAAAGGTGGCGGACATCCATCCAGTCGGTGAAAACAAGACCTGGGGCTGACTGTAGCTCAGATCACGAACTTCTTATTGCCAATTTAGAATAAAACTAAAGAGATCAGGGAAAATACACAGACCAGTTAGATATGATCTCACTAACATTCCTAGCGAATATACAGTGGAAGTGAAGAACAGATTTGAAGGACTAGATTTAGTAAACAGAGTCCCAGAAGAACTATGGACAGAAGTCCGAGACATTGTTCAGGAGGCGGCAACAAAGTACGTCCCAAAGAAAAAGAAAACCAAGAAGGCAAAATGGTTGTCTGCTGAGACACTGGAAGTAGCCCAAGAAATGAGGAAAGCAAAAGGAAACAGGGATAAGGGGAGATATGCCCAGTTAAATGCGCAATTCCAGAGGTTAGCCAGAAGAGATAAGGAACTATTTTTAAATAAGCAATGCATGGAAGTGGAAGAAGACAACAGAATAGGAAGAACAAGAGACCTCTTCCAGAAAATTAGAAACATTGGAGGTAAATTTCAGGCAAAAATTGGCATGATAAGAAACAAAGATGGCAGGGACATAACAGAAGCTGAAGAGATCAAGAGAAGGTGGCGAGACTATACAGAAGATCTGTATAGGAAGGATAATAATATTGAGGATAGTTTTGACGGTGTGGTGAATGAATTAGAACCAGACATCCTGAGGAGTGAGGTTGAATGGGCCTTAAGAAGCATTTCTAACAACAAGGCAGCAGGAGACGACGGGATCCCAGCTGAACTGTTTAAAATCTTGAAAGATGATGCTGTCAAGGTGATGCATGCCATTTGCCAGCAAATATGGAAAACACAATAATGGCCATCAGATTGGAAAAAATCCATTTATATCCCCATACCAAAAAAGTGAAAGGCTAAAGAATGCTCAAACTTTTGTGCCCTTATTTCTCATGCCAGTAAGGTAATGCTCAAGATCCTGCAAGGAAGACTCCAGCAATACATGGAGTGAGAGTTGCCAGATGTTCAAGCTGGTTTTAGAAAAGGCAGAGGAACGAGAGACCAGATTGCCAATATCCGCTGGATAATGGAGAAAGGCAGGGAGTTTCAGAAAAACATCTACTTCTGCTTCATTGACTATTCTAAAGCCTTTGACTGTGTGGATCATAATAAATTGTGGCAAGTTCTTGGTGGAATGGGCATACCAAGCCACCTTGTCTCTCTCCTGAGGAATCTGTACAAGGACCAAGTAGCAACAGTCAGAACTGACCACGGAACAACAGACTGGTTCAAGATTGGGAAAGGCGTACGGCAAGGCTGCATCCTCTCACCCAACCTTTTTAACTTGTATGCAGAACACATCATGCGATGTGCGGGGCTGGATGAATGCAAAGCTGGGGTGAAAATGGCTGGAAGAAACATTAACAACCTCAGATATGCAGATGACACCACTCTGATGGCCGAAAGCGAGGAGGAGCTGAGGAGCCTTCTAATCAAGGTGAAAGAAGAAAGCGCAAAAGCCGGGTTGCAGCTAAACTTCAAAAAAACCAAGATTATGGCAACAAGAATGATTGACAACTGGAAAATAGAGGGAGAAACCGTGGAGGCCGTGACAGACTTTGTATTTCTAGGTGCAAAGATGACTGCAGATGCAGACTGTGGCCAGGAAATCAGAAGACGCTTCCTTCTTGGGAGGAGAGCAATGTCCAGTCTCGATAAAATAGTAAAGAGTAGAGACATCAGACTGGCAACAAAGATCCGCCTAGTCAAAGCCATGGTCTTCCCTGTAGTCACCTACGGATGTGAGAGCTGGACCTTAGGGAAGGCTGAGCGAAGGAAGATGGATGCTTTTGAGCTGTGGTGTTGGAGGAAAGTGCTGAGAGTGCCTTGGACTGCGAGAAGATCCAACCTGTCCATCCTCCAGGAAATAAAGCCCGACTGCTCACTGGAGGGAAAGATACTAGAGACAAAGTTGAAGTACTTTGGCCACATCATGAGGAGACAGGAAAACCTAGAGAAGACAATTATGCTGTGGAAAGTGGAAGGCAAAAGGAAGAGGGGCCGACCAAGGGCAAGATGGATGGATGGCATCCTTGAAGTGACTGGACTGACCTTGAGGGAGCTGGGGGTGGTAACGGCCGACAGGGAGCTCTGGCGTAGGCTGGTCCATGAGGTCACGAAGAGTCGGAGACGACTGAACGAATGAACAACATTCAACCAGAAGATCTCACAAAGAAGTTGAGTGCCTCAAAATCTTCCTGGGGGTGAGCTGGGACTGTTTGGGATACGCACCATTAGCCAAGGGCATTGTGAGTTTCCCTTTCACTCAGCCACTACATTCAGCATGATTGTTTCCAAACACAAACTACTCAAGACAGGAGGAAGTGCTCTGACTCATTTCTGCCTCACTTGTCATAGTTTTGCCCCTGTGTATGCACATACGTATTATACTATGCCACCAGCATGTACTGAAATGCACCAATGTTTGGAAGTAATCTGTAACTGAAACAATTATTGCTCATAAGAAATAACAACCAAGATCCTCCAACAAAGAGTGTGATGTGAGACTTTATGATGGCAAGGCACCTTCCACATAGCCCTATATGCCAGAATATCGAGGCAGAAAATCCCATAATATCTACTTTGAACTGGGTTATATGAGTCCACATTGCCATACATATATTCAAGTTCAAAGCAGATATTGTGGGATTTTCTGCCGTGATATTCTGGAATATGGGGTTGTGTGGAAGGGCCCAATGTTACATTAACTAGTAAGGGTTTGTATCCCTGCCATGACGCACAGCTTTGATAATTATTTGGGCCCGTGCAGAATGGGAAACCACACAAGAAATCCTGATGCACAAAGGTTCCAGTACACAATATGCCCGAACATTCAATGTAACCCTAAGCAAAATATACACCAGGACACACTGTACATTGGAACATGTTAAAAGGGTCCTTTTTAACAGGTATGTTCAGTGTTTTCTGCTCTAGTTAATAAAATAAATGCTGGTGTTTGGGTTTGTTTGTTTTTTTGTGGGAATTGACTGTGTGATTTTTTTTGCAACAGCTGATGACATGGTCTATGGTTTCATCAGCTTCCTTGCACAGTCTGCATTTTGGGTCATCAGCTGATTTCTCAATCCTGGCCTTAATTGCATTTGTTCGGATGGCTTGCTCCTGGGCTGCAAGAATCAGGCCTTCTGTCTCCTTCTTCAGGGTTCCATTTGTGAGCCATAACCAGGTCTTCTCCCTGTCAACTTTTCCTTCAGTTTTGTCAAGGAACTGCCCATGCAATGTTTTGTTGTGCCAGCTGTCAGCTCTGGTTTGGAGTGCAGTTTTCTTGTACTGATTCTTTGCCTACAGTGCTTTGAGAAGTTTCCAATTACTGACTTCAATTAAAGCGGGTTCTTGGCTTTCCTTGACATATTCTGCCCAGGGTGTGTTTTTCTTCTTCAACTGCTTGTTTTACTTGTAAAAGTCCTCTGCCACCAGACCTTCTAGGGTGCCACCTTGTCGTGGTGGGAGGCTTAACTGCTCCAAGGATGCTGAGAGCTGTACTGGCAGTGGTGTAACTACCAGCAGGTCCAACCAAGCCAGAGAGGTCTCGGCTGAGGAGTGGAACTAGGAGCACCTAACCCATTAACGCTATGGAGAAACAAACCAAAACGAAGTCTAAACTGGCTCGGTCGACACCCAGGATACAAAGGACTGTGGTGGATGCTGCTGATTCTGGACATCCATCAACAAGTGGACTACAGAATCAAAATACAAATGAACAGTCACAGAAGCGGTAGAAATATATAGCGCCAGAAAACCGCACAGTTATGAAATGCTATTACAAATCAGAACCTCAAAAGTGTGGCTATCAAAAAAAGGATGTATATTATTATTATTATTATTATTATTATTTTACTGACACAAAATCACAGTATGTCACAGCAAACGAGATATATATGTGATTTTTGTATCACAAAATCACAAGTCAAACACTTCCCAAGTGTTTAGTACTTATTATTATTATTATTATTATTATTATTATTATTATTATTGATTCCCCCCTCTTTCTACCCACAGTGGGATGAAGTCCCTAGAGCTTCCTAAAGAGAACATCTTAAATCGAATCCACAAATAATCAAATCCACAAAAGTCAACATTGCAACTAAGGGGGAAATGGAATAAATTCAGTCAAAAGAAGGACCAGAGCCCATTTCAACTTATACAATGGTTATACAATGGTTTAAATGCAATTTCTTTTTAGAGCAATGTTTTATAATTCTACTTACATTTGGGTCCCTCACCCAATTCTTTCAATCTTCAACCCTTTCCTTTTCCCTCCACCTGGCTTATGATCCAAGCAAGCCAAAAACGTTCATTCATGGGAAGACCTAAGTGCCAACTCACAACTTCTCTGCTCCACATATTCACAATACTGATTAACCAGAAAAAAAGACATGAAATTGGCTCTAATTTTAGACATTACAGTCTTCATGTGCTTACCTTGCATGGTTATGCAAAGCAGAAGGTGGGGCTGAATCTAACCAAAATTAATAAAAAGCAAGAGGGGATCCAAAGGGAGTTCAACGAGTGGCAAACACCATCATGGAACTATCTGAACCAGTCACCCTCTTTCTTGTCATCTGTCTATTTTGCATTGCCTTCTTATCATTTCAGAGAAAAATATCAAACAAGGGGAGGCTTCCCCCAGGACCCACTCCCCTGCCTCTGATTGGGAATTTCTTACAGATCAAGTCATCTGAAACCCTAAAATCTCTGGTGAAGGTGAGTGATTGCCTCTTGGAAAACAGCATTGGCATTTTGGCTATAAGGGCAAAGCTAAGGAGACTAGTCTCAAGATTCATTGAAGCTATCTCCTTACTCCTCTTCCTCTTCCATGTCTTCTCTTTAAAAAGTCTCAATGCAGGATTGGATTAATCATTAAACAAAATGGACCTGCTAGGGCATCATGGAAGGGGGAGGGCACCACAGAAAAATTTTCATTTTGGGATTGAGCATTGACGATGTGGTGCTAAACAGCAACTGGTGCTGATGAATCAGATGCCATATCAAGGAGACCCCAAAGTAAAAAGTTTCCATTAGAAAAAGTATGAGGAAACTTTTCAAATATTACTTTGAAAAATAACAATATATTTAATGTGTTGTAAAAGGCTTTCATGGCTGGAAACACTGGGTTGTTGTAGGTTTTTCAGGCTCACAACATAGGAGGATGCCTAGGTGAAATGTCAGGAGAGAATGCTTCTAGAACATGGCCATATAGCCCAAAAAACCTACAACAACCCAACATTATATTTTACAGTGTGTTACAATATTTTGTATTAGATATATATGAGGACAGGACAACAAAATCTAGTAAGGGCTTAAAGTTGCTAAAGATCTTAATTCAACTCTGCTTCAATTACATCTTGCTGTTCCCCCCCAAGTAACCAAAAATACATCCCTACTCAAGCTTTCCTCCATCCAATGTTTTTCATCCATCTCCCCAATCCTTCAGTCTATTTATTGATGGTATGGACTGCATCCACCCTAATGGATCGGAGGCAGATAGTACAATGGTCCTTTTTAGATAGATCATTTTTCATTGGCTTTGGAAATATATAAAACTTTCTCACTTTTTTGAGCTCTTCGGTGGAGAGACTAATGTAATGTTCACCCCACCAGCTCAATAGATATCTTGAGCAATGATCAATTTATTTGCCCCCAAGGAACTTGGAAATTGATGCTTCTGTTCGATGTTTGATATTTTGTCTTATGTCTGATATAACAGGCTGTGTTTTTTAAATTTAATTTTAGTCATAATTTGTGTTAACTAAAATTAAATAAAAAACGCAGCCTGTTATATCAGACACAGGACATAATTTGTGTTAATTGTTTTAGTGAGGGGTTGGAAAGATAAAACAAAATGGACACTGATTAATTGGTATAACTATATAGTTAATAAGTTCAATGTGGGAATAAAAAATTGCAAATGGAATAATATAGATAAAATTGAAAAGGTCACAATAATTAAGAGGATGGGGGAACCAGTTAGGAATTACTTAGAAAATGTGTTAAGATGTTGAGTAGAAAAATTAAGACTGAGGCTGATATTTCAAATGAAACTTCTGTAGTTTGATGTATAAATTGCATGTACAAGGAGGGGAGGGTGGGAGTGGGAAAAAAACAATAAAACAATTTTTTAAGTCATAATTTGTGTTTATATGTTGGGTTTCTAAATTTCGTTGCTATGAATGTATTGTTGTTGAATGTTTGCCTGTTAAGTTTCGAATCTGCCCTGAGTCCCTCCAAGGAGATAGGGTGGAATATAAATAAACAAATTATTATTATTATTATTATTATTATTATTATTATTATTATTTTACTGACACAAAAACACAGTATGTCGCAGCAAACGAGATCTATATGTTGGATTTCGTATCTCAAAATCAAAAGTTGAACACTTCCAAGCGTCTAGGACTTATTATTATTATTATTATTATTATTATTATTATAGAACTTTGTCTAGTTTTCTCCCATTATCTTAAATTTTTAGATTTCTTTCTGCCCAGAAATACATGCTGTTTTTTATGAGAATTGTGGAGCTTGGCAGGGGAAAAAAGACAGGTTCCAAGCAGTTTTGCGTAATTTTTGTGTACCGTTGCTCTTTTCCACCCAAAAAAAGGGTATTAATTATGTTCTACAAAATTATTAGATGTGAGGTCTGGGTGGGGGGTGTGAGTTTGTGTGAGTTTGTGCATGTGTTTTTTATTGCCACCATAAGCTGGAAATGACTCGAATGCAACAACAATACAAAAAACAATACAAAAAACAAACTCACACCACCCACCCAGACCTCACATCTAATAATTTTGTAGAATACAGTTAATACTCTGCAGAAAAATACCCAGCAACCTTGTACAATGAAACCATTATTGTAAGATTTTCATTACGTAAGATTATGCTTTTCTTGGGTGGAAAAGAGCAACGGTACACAAAGATTACGCAAAACTGCTTGGAACCTGTCTTTTTTCCCCCTGCCAAGCTCCACAATTCTCATAAAAAACAGCATGTATTTCTGGGCAGAAAGAAATCTAAAAATTTAAGACAATGGGAGAAAACTAGACAAAGTTCTATAATAATAATCATCATCATCATCATCATCATCATCATCATCCAGTTGAGATTTCCTGGTTGAGCTGCCCAGAAGGATACTCTTCCTGTTGCTCGGTGAATATTAAGAGGAGTGGTGGTTCTCATTAAGCTTTTTCTTGATTTAAGTCTACTGGGAGGCGGCTGATAGCTATACAGTGGGTGGCTTTCACAGTGCTCAACTTATTTCTCCCACTGTTTGCAGCAACTTCCCTTTGCATATCGGGGGGGGGGGGGGGGCAATGCCAGCTAACCTATAGAGCAGTGTTTCTCAACCTTCCTAATGCCACGACCCCTTAATACACTTCCTCATGTTGTGGTGACCCCCAACCATAACATTATTTTTGTTGCTACTTCACAACTGTCATTTTGCTATTGGTATGAATCATCATGTAAATATCTGATATGCAGGATGTATTTTCATTCACTGGACCAAATTTGGCACAAATACCCGATACCCCAAATTTGACTACTGGTGGTGTTAGAGAGGGTTGATATTGTCATTTGGAGTTGTAGTTCTAGGGTTTATAGTTCACCTACAATCAAAAAGCATTCTGAACTCCACCAACGATGGAATTGAACCAGACTTGGCACACAGAACTCCCATGACCAACAGAACAGGGCATTGAGTTTTGGAGTTGTAGTTTACCTACATCCAGAGAGCACTGTGGACTCAAACAATGATGGATCTGGACCAAACTTGGCACAAATACTCAATATGCCCAAATGTGAACACTGGTGGAATAAGGGGAAATAGCTTGACATTTGGGAGTTGTAGTTGCTGGGATTTGTAGTTCACCTACAATCAAAGAGCATTCTGAACCCCACCAATGATAAAATTGAGCCAAACTTCCCACACAGAACCCCCATGACCAACAGAAAATACTGTGTTTTCTGATAATTTTTGGTGACCCCTCTGACACCCACTCACGACCCCTCCAGGGGTCCCGACCCCCAGGTTGAGAAACACTGCTATAGAGTCTATCAACAGTTGTAGGTTTGAGACATCCTGTGATTATTATGCATGTTTCGTTCAGTGCTATATTCACCTGCTTCACGTGGGCAGACTTATGCCAAACAGGGCAGGCATACTCAGTAGTTCAGTAAGACAAGGCCAGGGCTGATGCTCTTATTAATTTTGGGTCTGCACCCTATGCACTGCCAGTAAGTTTCTGCAGGATGTTTTTGCATGCAGTTACTTTGTGTTTGGTGTTCATACGGTGTTTCCTAAAAGTTGGTGTTTGATCTAAGGTAATACCAAGATATTTAGTATGGGAACAGTGTTCTAGCTCTTGGCCTTCCCAAGAAACTAACCCAAAAGCATTGCTTTACAATTGAGAGGAGTGGGGTGTTTGGAATGAAAATTGCCTCTCTATACTGGGCTCCTGCACTGTCTAGTTCAGTGGTTTTCAACCTGGGGTCCCCAGATGTTTTTGGCCTTCAACTCCCAGAAATCCTAACAGCTGGTAAACTGGCTGGGATTTCTGGGAGTTGTAGGCCAAAAACATCTGGGGACCCCAGGTTGAGAACCACTGTCTAGTTGATTCTATGCACTCACCACTCTTCTCTATCAGTGGGGTTTCCCCCTCTCCATTGTCACCCTCTGACAGCTGTGTACATTCTGATTTTAATTTTTAAAATGTGTCTGTCACAACATATATTTGTATACTGAAGATGAGGCCCCTAGAACCATAAAACATGCAAAATAAATCAGTCAATAGTTAATTCTTGAATTGCCCCCCTTGAAATTCAAATTACACCATACCTGTAGTATGTGTGGGTTGAGAACCAGGACTGTAGAAGATACTGTAGAAGATGTTTATGATAACGTACATAAACAAGGAAGGAAGTGGGAAACACAGAGAGAGCTAAATAATACCTTCACTTTGAAACTGTATTTTGCCTCAGAAAATTCCCCCTTTTTGCACAAAAAACCTAAGAACCGGGATCCTACCATCTTTTTCTTTTGAACATCCTTATTGACACCAACCTGAAATGTCAACAAGTTCCGGTTCCGGTTATGGCGGTCAGCAGCAGAAGCTGAGCTGCGCCAATTAAATAAATCAATTCGGGGGAATCCAGACGACCCCCCCCCCCACG